TCATCGAGACCCGCGGACGGTAAATATATCCGCGTTGATTACTCGAGAATGACAAACAGAGTAGCAATCATACGCGCGACCTCGTCGGCGGAATATGAAGAGGTTCCCGAAGCGGTCATCACAGGACCGCGTATTTAAAATCGCGATTCATCCAATTTCGTCGTGGACGGACAATAATGTAGCGAGTTTCGTACATATGCATGCACGGTGTGCTCCGCGAACCGTCATCGGGGACAAAAAGATCGTTCGTGCCTTAGGCGGAACGCCGGGGGTTTTCGCCCGGTATATTTTCCGCCTTAATTAACGAGATTTTCTGTAATGAGCGGGAACCCTGTTCGCGTTTCGTTTATCTCGCGCTCTCGTGGTCAGTTCAAAGCGGCCGTCATTACGCTGACTCGTCGTGCGTAAGCGACTTCCCTCTAAGCGAAGTAACGCGATAAAACGGAACGAAAGAGAGAGAGAGAGAGAGAGATGTTAATTACGATTACAGGCCCTCTTATGGAGATAGAGAGAAGGTTGCGCCGTCACGGCGAACCTAATCGATAGAAAATTTTATAGATCGCGTCATTAATATCGATCATGCACCTCTCTCTTTCGCTCTAAAAATAACCAGTCCCACCGATAATATACGCAATAGTCTGAGCTTGCAAGAACGATTGTATTTCATACATCTATAATGGAAGAATTAATTTCTCTTCCCGAACGTTTCTGGATTTAAACCGCGGCCTTGTTCAATTCAGAGGCACGGAATAAATACACGCTAAAAATTTTTGCGCGCCACTTTTAGATAAGAAGATATTAATATGTAATAATAATTACATAATAACACTTATATCTAATATATTTACATAAAAATATTATATATCGTATTATATAATATGTAATAAAATATAATATTATTAATATTATTATATATTTTATAATATATAATAGTATAACATATTATAATTAAAAAATATATATCATATATAATTTTATATTATTAATGCATAATATACATAATAACTTATATCTAACATTTAAATAAAAAATAATATTATATATCATATTATACAATATATATATATATATATAATAAAATATAATAATAATACTCCGAAAACTGTTTTTCCTTGACAGTCAATCAACAACCGTAAAATAATTGTGACGTCAGACTCTGTCATACGGAATGACTGCGCATATGTGCAAGATGAGAGGCCTCTTCTGCACAGCTGTTTATTAATTATAAAAGAAAAAAGGATAGTTTTCGGAATATTTTAAAAGTACTAAAGTCCCCGAAGTTGCGTGTATTTTATCAAAATATCTCCTTATCTAAAAATAGCACGCAAAAATTTTCTTGCCACTGACTCGGGATTGAGATTTAAGAGAAATTAATTCGGGTTTTTTTTTTGTCAGGACGTAGTGCTACGAGTGAATATAGGATGAGAAGCCTCACCTTTCTCCGGCTCCAGGATCTATGGAAGTCGGGGAGGCGGGATGAGAAGCGGAGCCTTAGGCGGTTTGTTTCTGAGGAAGGCCATCGGCATATGCGGCTCGCGTGCATCGACGCGACCATAGGATCCAGGAGTAACAGGTGCAGATGCGGCGGAGGAAGCCTGATCGTTAGCCCGACATCGCCCGCGGTGCATGTGTGCCTATTATGATTTCTTTCGTAATTAGTCTGCCTCTCTCTCTCACACACACACACACATTTATATATATATATATATATATATATATATATATATTGGGCGTACCTTAACATTTGTTTCGTTGCGTGGCATGTTCCGTGGCCGGTCTCGTCGTAACATGTGCTACCGCGGTGTCCTGTAGCTGTCAATGGGCCCTTCGACTTAGCGAGCGGTTGACGATGACTTTTATTTCGCTGCGTCTCGTACCTCGAAGTGATCCCGCCAAGAGGATAGGCGAGATGATCGAGATATCGAATTTACACCTTACGCGATTGGTGGATCTAGGTTCGATATATATCGATATTCGAGTAGAACTTTTTGAAAAAGCCACGTTAATTATGCAGCTCTTTTCTAATGATCAATATATTTTCATATATGTATAATAATATTAAAGTAATTATATAGATAATAACAATTAAAGTATTATTATATAGAGCATATATATTATTATATCGTATATTATATATATATAACATATTATATAATATATTATATATAATATATATCATATATGATAATATATTATTTTATATGATAAATATGTGTGTAATATATAATTATTATAATATATTATATTATTATATATTATATAAATATAAATATGTATATTAGATATAAGTTATACATGTATAATAATATTAAATTATATATGATATATATTTAAAATTTAATTGTTCTATCTAATCACATCATTATTTTTTCCAACATTTAGATCGCAAATCTCCTGCGACAGACTTTCTCTCGCAGCATCCTGCATTCCGATCGTCTTACCGGCGTTATGCCTGAATTCGATCTTGAGTTAAGGGGTTGCATCTTCCTAGGTGACGTCACAGGCTTATCTCGTCGTATGGTACTGACTTGATCGATGCGGAACAGTACTCCAAGATGGACTGGATAGTCCTTGATCGCGTCCGTCTATAATACAGATATATACATATATATATATATATATATATATATATATATATTATGAATATATATATATATATAATATATATATATATATAATATATAGATATAGAAGCAAATATATATACGCACTGGAGAAAGCGTCTTGGCGAGGGATTTCGCGTAGGGTCGGCTGTTTGCGCCTCTCGACAAATAAGGGGAAGTCGTTATCCTCTGGATGGGAGGAGTAATTAACTGCTTCTACGTCCTTTCTGTCCGCTCCACCTCCCTTCCTCAGCATCCTCCCTTTCCGGCTTCGGCTTCTACTTGAAGGAACAGACTTAAGGAGGCCCGCTTAGGCTTTCACGGGGTCGTGTCTTCATTATTCACGCTAATCTGCTTTCGCCTCGTGCTGCTGCCACCGCGAACCCTCCTTGGTGCTTCCTCTCTACATCTTTCTCTTTCTCACTTACCTCTCTCTTTCTCTAGTCCGTGATATACTTTGCGGAAATTATATTATATCATTATCATGCAACGCAGATAATCTTGGAGCAAGTATTTCACGAGAGACGATACATGTCCAATATATAAATAATCAGATGCGCGAAACTTTCATTAGAGTAATGGGAAAATATTTAGAACGACCAACTGGCTATTATTAATGGTGTTAATTTATTTGTGCAGCAACGTTTTGACTAGATTTAACATTAATTAACTATGGAGTTAATGTTAAATCATGTTCAAGTGCACATGTGAAGTAAAGAACAAGGTTTCATTCGTTTTGTATCACTTTATGGTGAACATTGTTAACATCACGGTTGTGAACAAATACCTACTATCTTAAATTAAGATGTATTAACATTGACGTTTAACATCAGCCTGAAGAGGACCCAATTCAGGGTCGAAACGTTGCTGCACAAATAAATTACACCATTAATAATAGCCAATTGGTCGTTTTAAATATTTTCCCATTGATTTAATCTTACTGGCATTCAACTTTCTTACTTTTATTTCATTAGAGTATTAGAGTTATCAGATTTCTTTAGAATTGTGTCAAAAAAAAAAACGCAAACGCAACTTTAAATAATACATTCTCTTCCCTAATAGCACAACATATCCAAAAGATATTCAGAGGATATCCAGAGGATATTCCAACATCCTCAGGATGTGTGCTGTTAGAGTTACAATTGGAAAAAATGGAGAATACACGATGTTCTAAAAAAATTAATTGGCTCGCAGATTTAAATTCGTTCCCGCAGATAGGTAGGTATGTAATAAATCTGTTGGGGCATATTAATCAATACCGGTAACCGAAACACGTGTAAGTGCAACCGACATCATCGCGTACATTTTACGTGTTCTTACAGTGGACCACCATGGGTAAAGGCGTCCCGCGGCGGCCGCCAAATTATGATGAATTGTTTTCTCTATTAACAATTTGTGCCGACAGAGGCGAGACGCGAGCACCCCGACCGAGATAATCTTCCACCAATTTCGACTTTCTTGATTGATCATGGCGATTCATTCATTGGGACGCCTCATCCGAACCGGATCGTCCAAAACAAACGAGCCGCATCATCCTCTCTCGGCCGAAGATTTTTCGTTATCAATTTAAAAAGCATATGTCGATCCTTCTTTTGGTCTGCGATTCGCGGAAGTTATATAATTCGCATTTTTTAAATGCCATCTCGGATACAGATCCAATGGAAAAATAAACAATGATTGTTCGTACATTAAATCGGTAATAAAACATTGTTACATACGCAAGAACGAACATGAATAAAGTAACAACATCTTCGCATATGTGAATGTTATGTATTTTTGGTTCATTTAATTAATCTGAGCGAGAAATAAGAAGCTTGAAAGATATTTCTTTTATGTACATAACAAAGATATTATTGTATTGTTCGTTGCATTGCATATTATTATTAGCTGTAAAATAAAAAGAAATATAACACTGAAGTTTGCATCGTTGGAATGCAACGATTTTAATTTTTCAAAAAAACTTGTGCAGTATAATATATAAGATTTACTTGCATGATTAGTGCTGAGATTCCGCAAAAACATAATGAAACAAGTGACAATAACATTTCACCCTCGGAATAACCATGCAAGTAAATCTATTATAAACTGCATAAGTTTTTTTTTGAAAAATTTAAATCGTTGCATTTCAATGATGCAAACTTCAGTGTCATAAAGAAATACTATTAAGAATAATATTTTATGGAAGACTTTCTTAAAATATACAATATCCTAAATGTTCCTCCAAATTTTCTGGGTGTTCTTTACGGCATCAAAATTAAAAATTAAAGGAACAAATGTTAATTGTCGCAACATAAAGACATAGCTATTTAACATTGGAGTTTTTATAATTATACATGAAAGGAATAAGGATATATAAATCTAGAAAAAGGATATATATATAGATCTATAAATCCACACTTTCATGAATTAAAACATAATGTTAAGAAACATTATATATTCTTGCTATGCAACACTTTTGAGGAAGTTTTTGTTATATATACTATGCTTTCTCTTTTTTTACACTCTATTACAGCATCAAACCTCTCATGATGTAAATGCACAATTCATGTAAACACACGATGTTCCAATTCATTAATATTACTGCGGTAAATTAAGCAGCACATTTAAACCTGATGGCAAATATGCTACTTGACGAGACTTGGACATATTGTACGCAATGTCTTCCGCTGCTTCTATTTTTCTCAGCTCGACCAGACCGTCTCCCGCCTCGGTCAGAGATTTCGCTAATAAGCTCGCAGCCTGAGCATCACCCTCGGCACTAATAACAGCTGCTTTCTTCTGTTGTTCCGCCTTTTCTACTAAGAAACGAGCCTTCTCGGCATCCTGTTGTGCCACTTGCTTCAATTCTACCGCCTGAGTAAACTCTTTGCCAAATGTCAAATGTGTCTGAAAGAATTTCAAGGCAAATGATAAAAATTTGCACGTTAAATGCGAAAAAAAGTACATTCTTTTATAACAATGCGTTTATAACAAATTTATAACAAAATGTAAGCACATAATCGATAAAAAATAAATGTACTTACAATGGAAATATCATCTAGAATAAGGCCAAACTGCGCAGCTCTCTCTGTTAGATCATCGCTGACCTTTTGAGATACGATTTCTCTATTTGTAATTAATTCACCAGCATCAAATTGTGCGACAACAGCTTTTAATACTTCTGTGGTTATAGACGGCAGTACCCTTTCATCGTAATCCACACCAAGGATTGTATATATCTTAGGCAAAGAGTCCGGAACTGGTCTGAAGAGAATACGAAGAGTGATATTTACATTCTGTAGATCCTTGCTTCCAGTAATGACTGGAACATTCCTCGGTCGCGAACGAATATCAAATATAATTGGCTTTTGCACCCAGGGGATAAAAAAGTGTGTTCCTTCTCCTATCACAACATTCTTTATACCAGCAAATCTGTCAAATATAACTGCTCGATTACCACCATCGACTGAAAAACAAAATTAATGTCACTTCAAAAAATGATGAAATTTTCCTGATTATGTCACATATAAAATACAAGATATTAAACGTACCGTTGTATAATGCAGAGTTAACGACACCACCTGTCAATGCTATGCCCAGACCAAGCTGACCCAATCGATTGAAAAATTGTGCTGCCATGTTTCAGTATCTGTAAAACGTCAAACAATATAAGTCGCATGACATGGGATAATGAACTTTGATACACCAGCTATTTCCAAGTAGTCGCTCTTCTAACCTCAAATTTCAAAAAGAAAATATACTCGAAATACGCGTGATTAATCGCATAGAAGTATAAAAAAAATATAATAGAATGACAAATATATTTTATATCTCAATTATACACGTTCACACACTCTCGGAGAATTATATATCATCACATTTCCTAAATGGAGCAACACGTCGGCCGGCTAAGACTTGAATCGAGGTTTTAAATTATCTCGATGTTAATCTATCTTATGTTATTGGCGTAGTATTGAATTAAAATCAACAATATATAACTGTTTATAATAGAACAGACGATTCTTACGTAATAAATCGTGCCTTTAGTTGTAATAATCAATTTTTCCTCCTCGCGTGGAGCTCATGCGTTGATAAGAAAATGGCTAGTGGCTAGCGGCCACCGTGTTGGCAACATTTGTGACTTGTGACGTAACGTCGCGATTGCTGAGTCAAAGGTTTGCGCGGCAAATTTAAATCGTGATTATACTGCAAACGCAAAAATTATAAACATACAATTGCGTTATATTAAATATTTCGATAAAAAAACCATGATCTTTTATCACTGCAAGGATTGTTTTATAAATTACAAAATTAATTTATATGTAATTACATATAAATGTAATTACATACATCAAATTATTAAAACCAATAAGAAACCTTTGCAGAATATTTTAATTATAATATTAATTTAAGGCTAATGTTACTGACATTAAATTCGTTTAATAAATTAGAATTCTGTGTGTATAAAACAAAATGTAGTAATTAAAAAAAATAATAAAAAAAAACGCCCCCGGGTGGGCTCGAACCACCAACCTTTCGGTTAACAGCCGAACGCGCTAGCCGATTGCGCCACGGAGGCACTTGTTATATAGTCATCATATTTATTACATATGTAAAATATAAAAAATTATCAGATTTTAGTTAATTATTAGTTATCAATAATAATATATAATTTATTTGAATATTTGATTTATAAAAGTCATAACATTCATAACATTATCAATGTAAAAAAATATATCGATAAATAGAATTTGCTATGTAATTATATAAACGTTAATATTTATTATATAATAAATGTTATATTAATATTTAATAAAATATTTATAATTCATGTTTCAAATAAAAAATATCTCAATTTTGCATTTAAAAAATTTTGAATTATTTTATATACAATATCCTGTGTTTGGTGCCAAAAACACAAATAGAATTGCATACATTTACAATTAGATTATTTCTGACAGAAGAAAATTTATTTGTTAATAAACAATGCCCGAAAAAATTTTCGCTTAAATAGATATTTACATATACGCGCCCATACACGCTTAAATACTCATTTAACAATTTATTACGGGTAATGTTATATATTATGATATATATTATGTTTATATTATGTTATATATTATGTTAAATAAATATTAAATTTTAGTTAAATAACATTATATATAATACATATACAAATATTAAAATAGAAAAAGAATTTATATTTAAACGAAATATATCTTTCTTCGTAATTATCTTATGAAGTGTATTTGTTTTATAAGAACAAAAAAAAAAGTAATAAAAAATATATTATTTTCTGTAGTATTAATTATTTTGAAAATTTTTTAATCCGTGTATATTTTGTATTGTACAAATTAATATTGTGTAAAGTACATTGATGTTGTGTATTATATTAAAGGGTATTAAATAATTTTTTATTTTTATGTTTTTAGGCCACGGTCTTATATACATATATAGATGCATCTCTCTCTCTCTCCTCTATGTTTTTCCAAGTGTTACTTAACAATATATTTTAATAAATTCCCAAAATTATTAATAGCTCATGACTTATGTACTTAACAATATTTATGCGCCACCGGTGCACTTCATGTTGCCATTAAAATGTTTGTGTCCCTTTCTTTATAATTATATATCGTATCTCTTATTGAACTTCCTAAAATAATTTATTGATGCAGATTACATGTAATCAAGATAATATTGGAAATATAAGATGTACGGTATTGTTGCTATAAGAATATTTAAATTAAAAAATACTATTTGTTATTTTATGATCCAAATTAAATTTTCAAAATTATTTATACATTATAAAATAAAAAAATGATTTATTTTATTTATTTAAAAGATATGAAATAAAAAAAATAAAAAAAATTTTCAGAGAAAATTTTATATTTAAAATATATTATTGTGTAATACTCGGAAAAAAATAGAGGAGAGAGCGAGAGAAAGGCATCTATATAGTTTTCTTTGACTAATTATCTACGTAATGTAACATTTTTGCCATTCTCATTCGCAACATTTCATTCTTATTTGTTCGAGACACCGTGTAGGCGTCTAGAAAGAAATTGTTTGTTCTCACTCAGAATAGCAGATAAAAAGAATTTACGTTGTTTGAATTTTTCGACACTCGTTAGAGTCGTTGCTCGAATGCTGCGTTATTAAAAATTAAATTTAATCCATATTTACAGAATAAATTATATATCACAAATTCAAGAGAAATTTAAAAAAAAGACAAATTAATGAAGTTTTCTATTTGATGCTATTTAAATTTACTGAATCTTCATTGTGAAATATATAACTTGAATACCTACAATATTATATAACTTTTGTATAAATATAAATATAATTAACCTAAATATATATTATGTAAAAAAATCTTTATAATTATTTAAACGCTTAAATTTAGAGCACTAAAAATTTTGTTCTATTTTCTGAGAGGAAATTACTGCAGTGACTTCTCTTTTTTCCATTAACTAATATTAAAAACTAATATTAAGAAAACTAAAACTAACCTGAGAAAAATAAAATTAACCTGAGGATAAATAATACTATTATTATAACAAAATGTTATTTAAGATATATTTATTTTGCTGTGCGAACGAGAGAGAGTGTGTGTGTGTGTGTGTGTGTTTCTATGTATATTTGAATGTGTGTTGTGTATGTGTGTAGAAAAATATTTATACAATTATTGTCATTTTACATTTACGATCGTAATTACGCTTAGTTTAATTTATAATTAATTTCATGCAATAATAATCTGTTAATTATATATTTAATAATAAAGAACTTATAATTTTATTTTTATTATAGTTTAAAAAAGATTTCTTTTAAATTAATTAAAGATCTTCCTCAAAAATATATAGCTTATAACTTTTGTCGTTTTATAATCATTTCGATCATATAGATAGACACGAGAATTGTACGTTATTTATAAAATGTATTACAAACAAAATTTATATATTAAAATTACTTTCTATTCCAAAGATTTTTTGAAAAAACAAAGGCTTTTAATATAATCTGTAATAATATATAATATATATAATATATAATATATAATATATAATAATATATATTAATATAATCTGTTACATTCTCGGAAATTTTATATGATCATATATGATTAAAAATATACAAGTTGAAAGCAGAGGAATTATTTTTTGATACAAAGCAACTTATTAGAACAACTTTAAAATTCAGAAGCATTTCCTTAAATATCGACAAAAGTTGTAGTTTACTATATGTTTATCTTTATACTTCATACGAACAATAATAACGCTCGAAGTACAAAGAAAATTCTTCGCTGTTTCTCATTTCGAAATTTATCAACCATTTAATATCCGCCTGCCCATGTGTCGTCCAATATTCAGGACATTGCTTTCCTTTAATTATTTGTATCATTTCGTAAGCAATTGTTGATAATTTTTCCAAGGCGCAAATATAGCAAGTACAAACACCTTGTCCTGATACTGATTGTATGATATTCCAGATTATCAACTCAGTCAAAAGTGACTCCTCTTCCAAGTATGTGAATGTGGAATCAGTTGAATAATTTACGTTTCTGTCATATGAGTAATTATGAGATCCCATAGCGACAGCTTTACGTATTTCATGCCGTAGTATTGTAATTGAAATTTCATAAATGTTTGCAATGTCACTCATTTTATTCTGTAGTGTTGCATTTGAAAATTTATCAATATTTGCAACGTTAATTTTTGAGGGAAAGTATTCAAAGTATTTTTCTACTGCTGCGTTGCATTTTCGGCGATCTTCATTAAAACATTTTTTATATCTTACATTATTTACTTTCGAACATAAATCCATGTAATCGACCATATAATATGCTGCTGCTTCTTTTTCATCAAAATTATATTCTATAACTTCTCTTGCAGCTTGGTTTAATTTCTGACTTGATACGAGGTATGCCGCAATATTTTTTCTTCTTTCATTTCTGTTGTGATCCATTTCTATATAATTTCCGTTATTTCCTTTATTATATTACGTGCAGTTATAATCTATCAAGAAAAGCAAAAAAATAGAGAAATGAATACGTGCAAGTTGCATCACCATAAGGAGTACAAAATCATTGTACAAAAGTTCTTGTACAAGTTATTATATGCATTTAAATATAAAACTTTAGAAAATATCAAGGATTAGCTTTTAAGTAATAATGTAATTAATTAAGCTGTATTTTATACATTATTCGAACGCTATAGTAAAGCGTTTTTTATAAAATAAAATAAAATAAAATAAAATAAAATTAATTAAATTAAATAAATTAAATTAAATTAAATTAAAATAATAAAAGAAAAAATCTAGAATATTGTACTTACAAAATATACCACAATAAAACGCAAATATAATTAAAACTTTTTCTTTCAACGAGAGAAATGTATATAACGACTGTCTTACTTTGACTGTATGCGAATGATTATAGAAGCACAATGTCAGATATCGACTAAACTAACGTTCCAAATATTATATTAGGAAAATAAATAAATTTAACTAGAAGGACATATATATTTACACAACATATTATCTCCTCTATTTTTAAAGAAATGTATACCATCTTTCCCTTATTTGCACAGTTTTCATATTCAATAAAATGCACGTTAACTTTTTAATCAAATAATTTATTTAATAATGCACATTTACAAATATAAAAAAAGATTTATAAGAAATTGCAAGAAATTGTGAAAAATATTTGCGTAATTTTAATTCATATGCGATTCTCTATTGAAGATAAATCATATCAAATATTATATAAATGTTACGCTGAACGGTTTATTACAATAATTAATTGCAAGTTTAATCATTTCGAAATTAGCTTAATGAAAGGAGCTAATTCTACAATATAATATGTGTTTTAAGAAAAAGCTTAAAAATATAAATTTCAATAAAAATCTTTCCTCAATGGTAAAAGTCGACGAAAACTGGCAATCATTTATTATAGATAATTAGTTAAAATATAACGTTACATAGTAAAATACGACTAAGATTCTTGCCAACTGTTAACATCTATTTATTTCTTGCTTACTTCTGTCAATTTTACATTGTTCATTAAAACAATGGTGAATGTTGTCGAAGGTATGCAGTAAATTTGATTTACTGTATTAATTTATTTTGCATTTACTTTTGATTTACTTGAAAAGGGCTGCAATGACAGCCGAAACGTTGTATTTTAACTAATTATCTATAATAAATGATTGCCAGTTTTGGTCGACTTTTACCATTGAGAAAAGATTTTTATTAATTATTACTGTGGCGAACCTTAAGGATTATTATCTGATAAATTTCAATATTTGTTCAATAATTGACAAAAATCATTTTTGACAATTTTTTTAAAATAGTTTTATATATTTCACCAGGTCAAAGGAAAAATTAAACATTTTACACAGATAAATGGAAAATAAAGATTTATTGTTTCTCTTTCTGCTTTTATACTATCATCTAACCTTTACCTTATTCTTATTAAACAAAAATGATACTCTAATTATGTCGGTACATTAAAAATCGTAATTTACTGAATTTAATTTTTAATGACGAGCCAGAAATATTCAAATGTTACATTATGAATGAAATTATAGATCCGCAGTGTAAATCTTGGGAAGTTTCTCTTTATGCGTGCCGTCCATATGTCCGCACATGCCGGTCACGTGACCCTGAAGACTCGTGTCCAGCATCACGGTCACGCTGTTGGGGGTCCACATCATCATCATCGGGACCCGTTGGGACTGGACCACGAGATGCTCCTTGTTCTCAGTGAGTCTACGAGAGACAAATATTATACATTTTAATATTATAAATATTATACATTTTTATCACAATCATATTATTTAATTATTGTACTTACTTCATCGCGTAAGAGTTCGGCTCGTCCTTTGGCACCAGAATACCGTTCTCGTGTTGCTCCACCACGTTGCCATCAACGGTGACCATGATGCGATCCTCATCCGGCGTGATCATCATCTCGTGATCGGCAACGAACATCTTGACAGCTATCTTGTCACCTTGCACGGATTTCGCGAAAATGCCGTAAGTCATTTTGCCGTAGTCGCTGGATAGCAGAGTCCATTTGTCGGAGTCCATCACGAATGGAACCACACCCTCGTCCAAAGTGATTAACATTTGAGGGTAGACGGTGCAGATTTCTGCAAAAGGAAGACGCTCCATAAAGTAACATCAAGGTTTTTGACATTTAAATATATATATTATAGTGGTACATTAAATATATAGTATAGTATTTTATAATTAAATATGTAGTATTTTATAGTATATAATATAGTATTTTATAGTATTATATATATTTTATATAATATTTAAATATATTATATCCCTAACAGCACACATATCGCAAAGACGTTCAGAGAACATCCTGAGGATGTTCAAATGTCCTCTGGATATCCTCAGAATGTATTTTAGATATGGAGTCCTATTAAGGATACTATATTATAAATTATGCAGTAGTAAAAAAACTTACTTAATTGGCCTTGCGCCATTTTGTGCAGCGATGCTACGGAGAAGCGGGTATTGGGCATCACGACGTGCCAGTCTGGCTGCTGCATCGGTTCATCTATAATCATGCCGTCGAAAACTTTTTGTTGCAAAGGAACCTGGACGTACTCGTATCCGCTGACCGGAGTGACGACGCTTGCGTTGACGTGGTCCATATCGGAGGAAAATTCCATTATTATTTTTGCGTTGCCGCTTTCAGTACGATCCGTGATATATTTCACGTGCGACAGATGCACTGCGCGGATGGAATCTTCGATCATGGCGATTTGCGAGAGCACAGATACAGGTACCTGAAGTCACATGTATTTTCTAATTGAAAGAGATTTTTATTTCGCGATATTAATTATTCCAGGTAGCAAGCGTATGTCATTTTGACATCGAATGACGTCAGTTTGTTACTTGGGATGTTTAGACCTCACAATTTATTTAATTAAAAACAAATATTTTTACATATCTCTTATATAAATAAGTTAAATAAGACAAAGGTGCCAAAGAGGTTGTTGAAAAACAATGAAGACATTTTCTTTTTTCTTACCTTCTTGTAAGACATGTTGACGGTGAACTTCTTCAAGGTCGTGTATCGCAGGGTTTCGCGGATGCAGTTCATAGTTTTGGGAATGTGGCCTTGTTGAGTCTGAAATTGCGGATTTTGCATGTCCTTGACGCAAGAACCGTTCACGCTGTCATGCGTCATCTGCCTCTTCTGCTCCTCCGTCATTTCACCCTTGACAGTCATCGCAATCAGCATTTCATCGCGGACACACTTGTCGTCGTCCGTGAATCCCGCGGTGATGGTCATCTTTGCGTTGGTCTCTTCTGTCATAGTGACTTTCAAGGGATCCGTCTCGGTAATCGGGTAACTGTTCTGGGCGTCTACGCAGATCTAGAAGTAGAAATCGGTCGTAAGATTTATGACATTATATTAAAACTTGTTAGATCTATTATTTGCAGTTTGATTAGCTAAATGTACCTTTAAATTCTTCTCCCCTGGTGTTTTTCTCGTCATTTGCATCTTGAGGTTGTTGACCGTGTGTCCTTGAGACATGTCAATGTTCATGTTCATGTCCCACGTGCGAACGGATTCGCTCGTGGAAGCTGCTTTGACGTCGAGGGTACCTCGTACGTTGATCTTGTTGCTGTTGAGAGTGTGTATCCTGTCGTGAATGTGATCAGTATCGTCTATGTTGACTCTTATGTTCAGATCCACCTGGAAAACAAGATGAGGGAGAATAAGAACGCCGAAATCATTTTCTTCCTTCGGATTCTTGATTACTCACGTGTGACGTAGGATAAACGATGCTTGGTTCCATCTTCTTGACTATTCCGCAACTACCCACTGCAGGAGAAATGTAGTCGTTGAACTGTTTCTGACGGATAGCCATGATGTATTGAACGATGTTCGAGTTCCTAACAAATAAATTATGATAACTTGATTTTAGTAAAAAGTATGTGCATATATGTTGCCCCGATAATTATTATAAAATTAACCTGATTTCATTTTCATTATTTCAGTTTGTTATTTACCAAGTATTTTTATGTTCCGGAGACATCGCACGATGCCATTCCTGAATGTTGCTCAACGGAGTGACCTCGTCGTTCTCGCAGTCGAAGATCGTCATGCTGTACTTGAGGCCCGTGTCCTTGCAGTCCCTGGCGACCTGATAGTTCCTTTTCTCACCGGTGCTGACAACTGCGTGATGTTGGCAGGTAGCGCAGCAGGTCTTGAGAATGTCCTGCTCGTCCCCGGTGATGGTCACCAGGTTCTTCGCGTAGTACCGTACACCAGTCTGCGACAATTTGGTCATCGGTAATCTCGGCATGGTAACTTTGACACTCTTGGTCTCGTGATTGTAACCGAAGTTCATCTCCACGGGCAAGACAACGTCCTGGACGGTGGCACGACGCACCGAATGCCAAACGTCGGCGATAGGATTGTAAATCGACATGACGTACTCGCCGTGTCTCCAGACGCGAGTGTCAACCTCGACTTTCATGTTTACGGATGGTTTCTTCACTTCGGTATGAATATTGTTGAACCTAAGCGACCACAGATGAGGAATCTTAGTGGTGAAAACTCCCTGCAGACCCATGTCCATTGGCACTTGCATCTCGTAGAGGGTGTCGTATGCGATATCCTGGAAATTACCGGCCACCGTCTGCTTCATCTTCATAGAGTCGCCGAATATGTTCTTGAAGGTATTCTCATCGTAGTGATGGACAATGATCACGTGACCGTTCAACGTGATGCAGATGTCGACTTGAATGGGTCTCTTCACTGGCATGTCTTTCGCAGCGCGCATCAAGACGTTTTGCACGTTCTTGTTGGTGAGGTTTTCCACATCGGTGCCCATCAATTCTTTCTTCACCACCTTCATAATCTCGTTCAGACCAAAGGCATTCCAATAGATCTAAGACAGAAAATTTAGAAAAATATAATACAACTGTCCCTAATAGCACATCATATCCGAGAGACATTCTGAGGACATCCAGAGAACATTCAACATCCTCAGGATGTTCTCAGAACATCTTTGGGATATGTATGCTGTTAGTGATACGCGCAATCTTATTCTTTTCAAATTTCATAAAACTTTAATTACACATATGTATATATAAAATTGATCAAGAGATTTTGCTTTCATTTTTGAAGACTTAAGAGGGAAAATTAATGTTTTATGAATTTTAATTATGCTAAATCTCCATGTTATACTTACGCCGACTTTCTCGACAGGTTTACGAGCAAGTGACACCCGATGTTCGATATATCCACTGTATGGTATACCGGTAAATTCGTCAAGAACCCAGGCGGTGTTGAGGGATTCACCGTGTTCGTACATGGGGTCTGTGTAGTCGATGAAATATTTGGACGAAAGTTTGGTAGTCGTCGGTCTGATCTTCGTATAACGCAAAACCTTCCTGACCATCTCTCGAACTGGCGCTAGGCAAGGATCGACAGAATTGGCGAGACCTTTCAGGGTAGTGTAATGATAGTTGTACAGATGATTGTTTTGTTCGTTAACCATGTGCCAGTAGATGTTCATGAGTCGTTGCATGTTCGGCATCTGACTCATCAAGATGTCGTAAGCGACGATTCTCATGGGCAGCGGTTGAGTGGCGTCGACGAAAATAGGCCAGAGCAGGTTGTGAGCATACTCGACTTTATCTTCGACTGCTTTCTTGATGGCCCAGATCGCCTGAACGCGAATATGATGCGGATTCTCAGATATCATTTCTTCGCCGCGAATGATCGGCTCCAGGAGCTTCTCGATGTTGCCCACCTGGACGTTCTTCATTGCCATCAGATACACCATTTTCATCTCGTACGATTGATCGTCTGAAAAATTTAAATGGCCACGTGCTTTTTACATCTATGTATGTACATATAATGTAATTTGCAAAATTTAAATAATTTAAATTCCATTTTTACATTATAAATTTTTCTCTTCAGCATCTAAATCAAAGCTAATGCAATACTTACTCTTGACGTGATCGAGGAAACGATGAAGGTATCTCTCGAGAAGAGGATTGTTGACGACATCGCTTTGCTGATGCATGAATGTTTTGTGAATCAAAATCGAGAAGCAGAAAATACTGGCTTTCTGGACGTAGGGCGACACGGTATTGTCCAGTTTCAATAGGTCTTCCATTTCCAAGAGCAGTCTTTCGGATGGTACTTTGACATGCATCGGCAATTTCGCCAGCATCGAGATTGCAGTCGCGTCGGTCACTTTGTGCTTGCGGATGACGTTTCGCGTGAAGTGACAAGCAGCAGTCGTGCCCACGGTTGGAACCATTCGTAGGAAGATGTTCCTTTAAAATTACAATGCACAGTTGAAAAATTTATATTAAATTTAACAGATGTTTCAAATGGTTCACAGAAATTTTTGCGTTAATTTAATATGAATGTTAAATGGAGCTACGAATACTGTGTTAATATTTTAACACAAAATAAATGTAAAATGTACTTTACGTAATTTAACATAAATTTTGTGTAAAATTAATATAGTTTTAATGTAAAAATATATTTGAGATTTTATCATTTCTATTTATAAAATTAAAAAATTAACAATTTTTCTGTAATTTTTAATATATAAATCTTGTCAAACAGAATATATTTATTTATGTAAAATTGAAAATAGATGCACATGTTATGTTTACATCTTTTTCGTTGTTTTAATAATTTAACATTTTAAGTTAAATTAACACATAAATGTGTTAAATATTTAATACAAAAATTTGAATAGGGACCAGAAAATATAAATTTTCAAACTGTATTAATTCTAATTATCACTTCTTCATTTTAATATTATATAAGATCATCGTTTCCTACTCACTTCATCGTGAATTCTTTCGGTGTTTTTGCGTCTTGAATAGCATTGTAAACTTGTTCTAGTGAACCCAGATCCATGTAACTCATAGTGTGCTGTAGTCTGTTGATAGTTTGTCCGTGTTTCCAGTCGGGTTCTTTGGCCTCCAGGTGATTCTCCTCCAGGTAATCAACGGCTTCGACCAACATCTTCTTCAGTTTAGGAATGAGCGCGTCCAATTTGACAGTATGCCGACCATGAGTGAGATCCTCGGCGGCATTGAGAGCGTAATTTCCCATGGGTTTGTTGAAGGTGAGGTCGCGAATCATGGGTACAGTTTGGAAATTCACTGTCATAGGTGTTTCCATCGCCACCACAGACTGCAGATCCACAGTAACGCTGAAGTAACAAGTAGGATTTAGTATAGCACGAGCTCCCTGATCAATATAGAGCGATAATTAATCCAAATATATATAATTACTTGGTTAAGAGATAGTGAGCCTCCGATTGAGCGTTGAAAGGGAAGTAATTGACGGTTGAATGAGCAGTCATATGTTTGATGACCATCTCATCGTCTTCCTTTCCGACGTGGAAAACTCTTTTGGCAGCGGTGGTCATATCATCCTAAAATTTTCGACACAAAGGATATAAATTAAACATAGATATATCAAGTTTCATACAAATCCGTTGAAAATTGATAAAAGTATTTATAGTGTTCATGCATAATGAGTCATTACTAGCTGTGGCACTCCTTTTTATCCATATATAAGTTCATTAATCATTATAAATCAGTAAACTGGTTAATCACGATATAAACAGGAATTTAAATGAATGAACAGAGCTCTCGAAGGCCATGGAAATTACCATAGATTCGACGTGACATTTCTCGCATTCGACGTGATCGAAAACACGCTGAACAAAGTGGGTGCAGTTCATCAGGTCGTGCATTTTGGTGACCACGAAGTCGCTGCTTTCATCCGGATTCATCGGGTTCGTCGAGTGAACGTCGTAGGCGACTTGGCAGGTGCCGTGGATGGTGTTCTAGTGGTAACAACCAAAGAGAACATTAAACCCGTGTCGCTAGATGTTCCCATCAGTCGTTACCTACCTCGTGAGTGACGAAGCTATGCGGCTTCATCGGGGTTTGCATTTTGATGTGCGCCAAATCCAGTTGCATCATCGAGGCGATACTCTGTTTCATATTCTTGGACCAACCGCTCTCGTTCTCCATCATTTTGATGCCCTGGAACTGAAATCGGGAATATGGAACCGTTCAATCGCGGTTCTGCACAAACGACGATATTTTTTTTTTTTTTTATAAGATTGTTGTCTTAAAACAATCGTTTACCTTTCCATGATCGTCATAGACGACCACGAACGGTTCTTGGATTTGCTGCGTGGTTTCTTCAAGCTCGTGAACCACCTCGACCGGCTGATGATGTTCAACCATACCGTTGTACATGCCATACTTAATGTTGTTCAATTTAACGTAGTAGGCATGATTCAAGGTCGGATCACTGACGTCCTTCTTTATGTGAAGTTGTCCAGCGAGAGTGAACTGAGAGACGTATTGCGCTGGCTCGATAATCCCGGCTTTTACATCGGCATAGTAATTGTAGATCACCGTTTTCTCAGCAGGGAAGTGCACTAAAATGTTGGGAAATTTTAGCATATATTTTCATTTAACACATAATACACTGCGATTTATTATTATATATTAGTATAGTTATTTATTAATTAAAGCACGCACCAGTTTATGAATTATACAGTTATTATTATAATATATTTATATACATATATTATAATATATTTAATTATTTATTGTTATTAAATAATTCATAATGCCTGCAATATTGAGAAATATGTCGATTTAATACGTTATTTTGAAGCACGCGAACAATTATTATAATTGTTGTTATTGTATCACATATATAATAATAATAATTATATTTTATAAAAAGCTACAATTTATGATGCAGTGGATTAATTCGCGGAAATGACGAGATCGAGCTTTCCTAGAAAAAGATTTCAATATTTCTATCTATAATATTTGCACAAGATTTTCAATTAAATTTCATAAACAAAAAAATTCAAAAAAATGTATAATGATAAACCAAATCTTTCAAAAAATAAATTTTCTGAAAGCATATATTAATAATGCATATATTAATAATTTTTGTATAATTATATAAATATTCACTCTTTTTAATCTATAAATTATTTTATACATATATAAATCGCGGGTATATTTTTTGACATAAAATAATATAATTACTGACTGCAAATGTTAAATTTATTTATTTGTAAGCATCTTGCTTTCAATGTTTTACAAAATAAAAACATAATTAAAATGTAATTTACCTGGCACCGCACTTGCGGCCGCTAGGCACAGCAGCAATCCTGTAAAAATAATTTACATAATGTATTATGCATTTAAAAAAAACATATAAAATATTCTCTAAAAAAAGTATATATAAGAAATTCGAACATCTTCATTAATTATAATTTTTTTTTTACGTATTCGAATGTCCTGTATATATACAAAGATTTAGGCAACTCTATCTCCCCCTATTCTTTCTTTGCAAAAATTGACGAAATTCACCGAATGGATATCTTTTTCACAAAGACACTTATCGCTTTTTTTGCGACTTACCGGTAAGGGCATTCATCGTAGCTTGGCCCCTGTCGCGAAACTGGTAGCGTACGCGTGATTCTCTCGCTTTTATAAGGCGCGAAGTTTTGCAATTTGCCGGTAAAATGCAAAAGCGCAGCCGATAACCCGGCAATGGGAGGGTGTTAGCGCATATATGAAAAAAAGGCGAAAGAGGAAAAAAAAGATCATGCCGGTATAATCAGGGAGATAACCCCTTTCGGGCATCGAGCTCTCTGAAAATGTCGCGCTTGTATATAAATATATATACATTAACATAAATTTTTATAACAAATTCACATAAATATATACATTAATTAATATGTATATATATATATATATATATATATATATTTTAAAAAATTATATAATAAAAAAAATATATATACATAAAAATTCGCGTTTGCGTCAAGAATATAATTCGTAATCGGACCTGATGAGCGTCTTCATCTTCATTTTTTAATCGCCTTCTTCTTCGTATTCGCGAAACTCTATTTTTATTTTTTTCCTTTTTTTCTTCTCGAGATATATAGCTATTCACAGATCTTGTCTTTGCATGTCACACTGAAAAAAAATTTCAATACTGCCCAATGAATTATTGATTTGAAGCTAATAATATTGATTTGATATGAAAAATATTTATTTGATATAAGAAAATCTTTTTCAAAACAAATAAAATATTTATTTATTTGTTGGGAGTATTCAAATAAATATTTATTAATTTAGTCTTTTTTTTTCAGTGCACATAATCGCATCATATCTGTGAGTCATCCGCAGCGAAAAAGACGGATGCTGAGATCGAGATGTCCTGATGATCATAAGATAATCCGTACGACGAGATGCAAATACACAAAATTGGACGCGATATTGCGAAGAGCAAAAGAGATCAACTTGGCGAAAATAACGAGATATGAATAGCCGAGATGAAAGTGCACAAGAGATTATTGCAGCCTCTGCCTCGGTAGAAAGATTTGTGTTTTTCTTGTCATCGCATCGTTTGTTGATTTTATAATAGCGCGACTCCCGCTATTAAAATCATTAGCACTCTTGCGATTATTTTACGTAAGATACGCATTATTATTGTCTTTCGTTTGTATAAAAGAAATAGACGGAGAGTAGCTTTAACGGCAATTTACTCGTTTCCTCCTCTTAATTATCACACACATTTATATATATTTTCTGTTAATTTTTTTTAATGCACTTTATACTGTAGCGATAAGACGATTCAATAACGTGAAAAGAGAGAAAGAGTTGTTCTCTTTTTTTTTTTTGCGATGTATTTCTGCATTAAAAGATAATGTAACTGCGAGTAATTACGGTCAGCAAATTAAGCAATTATCGGGCAGTTTTTGATATTTAAAACAAAGAAAACGAACTACGATTGCATGTTTACCAGTTTATGCTTTCACGTAACAACACACCAAAGTACATTTATCTGTTTCGTTCGTAATGTATATGTATAATATACATTAGGCTTATCATCCAAATGTGTGATTTCGCACTCATAAGCATTTCGCTGTTCGATTTATTATTAGACAATAATTATGCTGAAAAGCAAAATTATTTTCATGTTCCCTTATCTGGCTAGTTTATTGACTATAAGTATAATCTTGTTTGTGTGAAATTTTTTTAAATATATATTTTGAATTTCTTTGAATTATACATAATTTTCAAGTGACGTAAAAATAGTCACATTGTTATCAATTTTATATCAGTTTTCTCGCGGAACATCACTCTTGAAGATTTTAACGCAATCAGCTAATATATTTTTATATTGATACTAATTGCTAACACAGTTAGTTTAACTTTCTTATAAGAACGTAGAGATGCACAATATATTTGTTATAAAAATGTTATTCAATTAAAAAATTTTATTAGCAGAATTTGCTAATAATTATAAAAAATCTATTAGTATCTCATTAATTATCTCATAAAAAATCTAGTAATCGATGTTCTCTAAGCAATAATATTATGTTATATTGCATTTTTCCAGTGTACCTTTTTGATAAAGATTGACTTTTTCTTTTCACGTTATCTATACTATATTTACACAAACTTGTAATAATCGTAAGCATTATTTATATAAGTAAATAAAATAAAGCAATCAAACAGTGTGATGGTGGTTCCCGGCGGTTATTATTGTACTCGCGATTAACAATTTTAATTAGTATGAGTATGTGTACGAGAGAGGTATCAGTTTGTACGATTAATAATATCTTCTACCAAGCAATATGAATATATATATATTGTATTTGTGACTTCAGATTTCAATTTGTTGCGTCACATTAAGATTTGCAAGGTGGAAGTAGTCGATTAAACACATTACATCAAGATTAAAATTATCAGATCTTCGGTCATATTGCAGAAACGGCCGTAGTAGTTTCAAGGTCATCAGCAAGTTGTTCCATATGTTTCCGGTACGATTATATATTGTCGTGACGAGACATCGAAATGTTTTCGGTGAAGAAAATCACCTTTGATAAATGAAATGGATATCGAACGTTAACATTATAGGTCAGAGTATAAGTTATAAAGTAAAGACAAAACAACATTCGCTCCGCTCAGAATTATAAGAGTTATAATAAGCGCCGTTCAATCATCTAGATTATAATGTAGTAAATAAATCTTACATAAGATGTGTGAAAGCATAAATTAATTATGTAATAATTACAAGGTTGGAAAATAGAATCAAGAAAATTCTCACTCTCTTAAAAAATTCATATAAGAGATTAGAAAGATATTTTTCAAAAGAAAAAACTTGAAAACGATAATATATATGAGAGAGAGAGAGAGACAGAGTAATTTTATTATATTATTAATAATAAAATATAATTTTATTAATAATTCTACATATTATATAATGTTATTATAAATATATAGAATAATAAATTAAATTGCATTGCTCATAAAATAATCTCTCAATGCTTCTAGCGCTTTCCGGCGATGAGAAATCTTATTCTTGATTTCCTTCGGCAATTCTGCATACGTCATATGATGATCCTGCGGCTGAAAACAGGGATCCCAGCCGAAATCCCGAGGACCACGTGGACTGACGATGGAGCCTTGTGTTCGACCTTGAAACAGAAAAACTTCAGCACCAGCCTCGCCGGAACAATAAGCAAATGTGCAAACTGCCTCTGCCGATTTATCTTCCCATCCGTCGAGCATTTTATGGAGACCTTCCGGACCGAGTTTTTCGAGGAACCATTTGATGTAGGGTCCCGGAAGTCCTTTCAATGCGTTGAAACAAAGACACGTGTCCTCGATGATCACCGGACCATTTATCAGGTTTACTGCGGCTCGACATTTATCTCGACATATATCGTCTATCTCGCCCTGATATTCAGGCAGATCGATCTTCCTGCTCGTTATTTGTCGAGGAAAGTTTTTTCCTAGAATGGCGGTAAACTCCTCCAGCTTCTTCGCGTTGCCCGTTACGAACACTATGGGTTTCGACATCCTGCAATATGAATATTAATAATAAATGTCAATTCAAAATTCTTTGTGTAGAGTGGTATATTAAAAAAGTGTATTCTATTAAAAGCCTCATTTTGCTGACAATAATATAGATATAATTTACATATATCACATCAAAGTTAAAAAAATATAATTTGAATTATAATAACTATAATGTATTTTATTATAAAATAGAAGAAAAATCTATATTATTACATCTATATATATATATATATATATATATATATATGTTGGGAGAGGAGATATTTGAATAAAGTACTTTATGCGTTGAAAACTGTTTATTACGCGGAGAAGAATCAATAATGAGCGTGTCTCTCGATCGGGCGGTCGTCTTATATACCGTCGTCAAAATAACCGATGCTTCAAATTCGTGCCAATCACGCGAAGACACGAATTCGACAAAAATCTCAGACGACGAACGGATGAACATGTATGGAAGACATACAATACAAAAGAATGTAAATACCGAGACAATGCCTTATAATAATACATGCCCGCAATAACAAGACGGACGACGGATAACCAAATAAGTCGAGCCCAACAAATAAATGCCAACACATAATATATATATATATATATATATATATATATATATATATTATTATGTATGTTTATATATTATATATATTTATATATTATACATTTATATATATTATATTATTTAATTATTCTCTCATATGCAGTATTATATATTTATATATTACATATATATATATCAGATTATAGATAGTTACGTTATAATATTTTTATATATTTTACTCGTGTAATTATTACATAGTTTCTTGCAACTCTTATCCTTATAATTTGTACATCTTTTCAAATTTTGCGCGCTTTTCAGCGATGACGTCACCCGCACTGAGTCGTCTAGTAACTAGTAACAACTTGCTATTACAGGATCTGGCTTGTCAAATCTTTTTACCGATATAGATTAATTTTAACAGAATACACAAACATATGTTACAAATCATTGACTACTTCTAAGCGCATATTTCGGTACGTGACGAAAAGATGTTTTACCTCATTAATTGAGATCTGTCTCGTCAAAACTTGTCGTCACTCCTAACCTGTCGGCGACGCTGACAATGTTGTTCTCTCGTTCACGCTTACCAACATAATTTAAACGAAAGACGAGTGTCGCGTTAATTAAATAGATTCGTAAATTAACGAGAAAGAATAATTTACATATTATTAGAACATAAAAATACATCGTGCTTTCGCTTGTAAGAAATTTTCATATCACTTTTCTTAAAAAAAAAAAAAAAGGATATAACTGTATTTTTTCCTTCGGCCGCGTATGGCGCTTTTAGAGAAATTTGACAGCGGAACACGCCGCTCTTGTCATTTTCGCGCTGATCGCTGCTTGTGTATGTGTGTGTATCGGTCTTCAGAGAGTTGCTTCTAAAAATGCCGAGTCAAGAGGTTGTGACGACGAAAGTTGTGGTCCACCCGCTGGTGCTGTTGAGCGTGGTGGATCATTTTAATCGAATGGGAAAAATCGGAAACCAAAAGAGAGTGGTCGGTGTGCTTCTGGGCTGCTGGAGAGCCAAGGGGATCCTGGACGTGTCGAACAGTTTTGCAGGTTATAATTTCTCACAAGTAAAATCTACAATATTTTCATAATTGCTTGTTATACAGCAATTTAGGAGAATTTTTAAAATGTAAAATTATGTCAAAAATTGAATGAAAGTTGTGTGAAATTTGCAATATTGAAACGTTTGTTTCCGTATTTCAGTACCCTTTGATGAGGATGACAAGGATAAAAGTGTATGGTTCCTCGACCATGATTATCTGGAAAATATGTACGGAATGTTCAAGAAAGTCAATGGTAAAGACTTGCGGATAAAGTTCTATGAAATAAAATTTTTTAAAATTATTTATATTTATATTACATTAATATTTATATATTAATATCAATATATTTATATTATAGTAATTATATTTACATCAATATTTATAATATTTATATTATATAATATTTAAAATTATTTATAATAATTTATAATATAATTTCATATGTGGATTTTTAGCTCGCGAGAAAGTGGTGGGCTGGTATCACACTGGACCCAAGTTGCATCAAAATGATGTCGCCATCAACGAGTTAATAAGAAGATATTGTGCTAATTCAGTCTTAGTAATTATTGATGCCAAACCAAAGGATCTTGGACTTCCTACGGAGGCATATCAAGCAGTTGAAGAAGTGCACGATGTATGTTTATTTATGTACATTAATTAGGTATTTGTTTTGAAAAAGATAAGATAATAAAAATATTCTGTTCACAGGATGGTTCCCCTACCTCAAAAACCTTTGAGCACATCCCAAGTGAAATCGGAGCTGAAGAAGCAGAAGAGGTAGGAGTGGAGCATTTATTGCGAGATATTAAGGATACCACAGTTGGTACACTCAGTCAAAGAATCACGAATCAATTACTTGGCTTGAAAGGTCTTCACGAACAAATCCGCGAAATTAGAGATTATCTGCTTCAGGTATATATTAATCTCTGGAAGAAAATTAATTATTAAATTAGTTTTACTGTTATATTTAAAACTAAATTATTATTTTTGTAGGTTGGCAGTGGAAAATTGCCCATAAATCATCAAATCGTCTATCAGCTTCAGGATATATTTAATTTATTACCAGATATGACTCAAAGTAGCTTTGTGGATTCGTTATATGTAAAGACAAATGATCAAATGCTGGTGGTGTATCTAGCAGCTCTGGTTAGGTCCATAGTGGCGTTACACAATTTAATCAACAACAAGCTGACTAATCGTGATGCTGAGAAGAAGGAAACAGATGGAAAGAAAGATACGAAAAAGGAAGAGAAGAAGGAGGAGGAGAAGAAAGGGGAGGAAAAGGCGAAAGCTAAAAATCAGTGATCGGAGCATTTCGCTAAGTTGCGAGATTAAAACTGTTAAAGTTGAGGACAATTATCAATATTCTGTGTGTAATAAGCAAAAAGTATGTTTGTTTGTACAGAATTACATCTCATTTATAAATAATGATGACAGTTTAAGTATCTATTACAAACATATTGTGATTTCTTAACTAATTCGGCATAATTCTGTGAATTTTCAAGATAATAGGCACAAAGAAGAATAGAAAACTTAACATTTCCATAATTTGAATGTAATGAATGGTGTAGTAAATATACCGAAAAATGTAGGTTTAAGACATTTTTACAGAATATTATTCTAATCATTTCTAATATTTTCCGTGTTTTAATTAACAATCTTTGATACATAAACAATAATATTCTATAAAAAAACGAGGCAACTTTCTACATCTGTTTAAAATATCATTCATTCATTAATTCTTTTAATCATTAAATTCAAATCTAATGAATAAAGTGTCTTTTTAAATTGTTTCAGATATGTCTGAAATAATTTAAAATTTTAGTTAACAACATTTGATATGATAGATATGGATTACATATTTCTTAAAAAATATAACAAGTATAGGCTCATTAAAAAAGCAAAAGTATTACGTTTTTAATAGAATAATTATTTACTTATTGTAAGATTGTTTTATTAATTTGTCATATAAATACTATATATATATATATATATATATATATATATATATAGTAATTAAAAATATATAAAAACAAATACACTTACGAGCATGAGCTTTGTACATACAATGATTCTCGGACAAAATATATATATAGATACATATGTAACTGTGTACATCGCGCGAGATTATTCGTACATGCATGCCTGTATACGTATAATTTGTGATTTGAGAGATACTTTCATAGAGCAATATTCATCAAGAGATATAATGTATGTTATCTCTTATGAACTCTCCGTTTCATCTCTTTAGCGATATACATTTGTCTAGTTATAAAAACCATCTATTTTCCTTTCTACGAATTATAAAAAAAAACCTCTATATTAAGATTCCAAGAACGAGCAAGAGTAACCATCGATACGCATCGATCTTTACGGCACCGCTGTAAGCTACACCTACGTAAGGTTCCAAATTCGTATCATTGTAATGCTGGAAGTACCAGTTGAAAGGACTGTCGTCTATCACCTTGGCCTCTTCGTCGATGACGAACGCGTCCTTCTGGATTTCGGTCGTCGTGCGATCGACGACTTCGGCGCTTCTCTGGGCGGCGACCGACTTCTGCTTCTCCCGCAACTGCTCGGCATTGTGAAGATACGGCGACGAGACCTTCGTTATCGTGGATCTGCCGAGCGGACGAGGATTTCCTACCGGCCCCGAAGACGGCAGCTGTCCTCCCGGGACCAGCAACGCGGACAAAGCGGACGGCTCCGCTTCCCGGGAGGTCGCAGTAGTGGTTTCTCGTGGACGCGCAGGATTCGAGGACGCCGAGGAGGTCAACGATAACGAGAGGCGTGGCGCATCTGTTTTTGCCACTTGCAGATTGTCTGCGACAAATGTAGTTACGCAATTTTATATTTTTTTATTTAATCGATTTTTTATCTAAAACTCTATTTATGGATCCTTGCTATATATTTTTTGGTTAATTAGGATTCAATGTTTGCAGAACAATAGCAAAATTATTAATTTAATTAAATTAAATAATAAAATTATTTTATTCATTAAAATTGATTTTACTAAAAAATTATTTAAATTTTAATTTTCTAATTCGCAAACAGGAGAGATTTTTTTATTTTGGTTTGTGAACATTTAATCCTAATTAAAATTAAAATTAAAATTCTAGTAAAGGATTACTTATGTCTGTCGAGCGATTTAATGGCGAAATATTGATATGAAGCATTTCGAAATATTAATTAAAATTATGAAGCGTACCAGATTCATCGTAAGAGTCAGTCGTGATGCTCAATCGAGTTGTCGAATTCTTTTCATAGTCGGACATGTCGATGTCCCAAATGTCTTTAGTGCTGCTTTCTGGAGACGGTGCGATCTCCATTCCTGCCGTCACAATATCTTTGATAGTTGTAGCTTTTCTCGTTTCCATAATTATCGCCTTAGGTGTGGTCCAAATTATCCTACTGGCGATTTCCATATGTGGTTTTTCGATGAATTTAACTTCTTCTAAGTCTGCTTCTAGACTCTCGCTATCATAAATCTCGGTAGACACTGACGTTTCCTGCGAGGACTCCTCCACAATAATCGGTGCACTACTTTTCGTTGCGTTTAACACGTCGGAACTAGCAATAAACAAAGTAAATTAACGAAGGAATTAGCGAATATCTCGCAAGAAAAATATTCTTTTTCGTCGAATTATATGTTGTTAAATTAAATTTATTATAATATTAAATTTATTTATTATAATATTTGTTATAATAAATAAATTACATATATTATTTATTATAATATTTTACACGCAATTTATATATAATAAATTATATATTTATTATATAATATATAATCTCAGAAATAATTTTTTTTTTTTTTATATAATATATAATATTATATAATAAAAACATAATTAATAATTTATAATACAGCATAATTAATATAATAATATAATTGATAAATATATCTATAATTTAATTAATAATATAAAATACAAATGAAATGCAGAATATCGCCAGAAAAATCTGCAGATTCAACTTACTTGACCCTGAGATCGGGTGGATGCTTGCGAGGATTGTAGTTGCTCGAAGCGGTCGATCGGTCGAAGGTCGAGGCGGTGGTTAACTCCTCCCGTTCCCGGGGACTCGTCCGAGGCTTCCCGTTCCTGGGGACGATCTTCTCCACCCTGGTGACGGTGCTGTTCCCGCTCTTCCTCGGTCGCTCCTCCGGCACTCTCTGACTTCCGGCGTCCGACGACTTGGACACGTTCTCGCGCTTCGCCTCCTGCTTCTCGTACATCAATCTAGGATCGGAACTCGGCACGAAGCCGCTCTGAGCACGCGGCAGCGGCACGAAACCACCCCTGTGAATTTCTGGCTCCGTGGGCGGAAAGGATCGGTAGCGTCCTCGGCTGGGTCTGACCGACGTCGAGGACTCCTTTCTCTCGGCTTTTCTCTTGGAGTTTCCCCAGAGGCCAAAGCTCATGCTCGGCAGAGGTAGACCGAAGAAGGTGAAACCGGAGCTGCTGGGAGACGGCGGCATCACAGGGTTCTTTTTCACCGGTGAAGTTGCGTTGTTCCTCTGGTTCTGGTGCTTCTGCGGTGGAGGATGAATGATCTTTACGGGCTGGACGGGCGATACGCCGATGGTAGGCGAACTTGACAGCGACGGGGACGTGCTCGTGTCGCTTTCGTTATCCTGATAGTCCAGGTATTCGTCCACGTAATCGGAGTCCTGCGAAACGGAAGACTTCTGCGTCGACGAATCCTTCAGGTTCATCCACAGCGGCACCGCCTCTGTAACTTTAAACGCTGAACAAGTTTCGATATAATTTATGAATTATTATTTGCTATAGATTCATAAAAATGATAGGATCAAAATAAATTAAGTAATTCATTATTCTTTAATTGAGCAGTTAATTGATCAATTAATTAATTAATTGAAGAAAATAATTAATTAAATAATTAATTGATAAAAAGATTAAATAATTAAAAAAATAAAAATTAATTAATTATAAATTCAAAATAGTTAAAGTGTGTTTCGATATAATTTAATAATTATTATTTGCTACAGATTAATAAAAATGATAGGATCAAAATAAATTAAGTAATTCATTAATTCTTCAATTAAGTAGTTAATTGATCAATTAATTAATTGAAGAATTAAATAATTAGTTGATTAAAAGATTAAATAATTCAAGAATTAATTAATTAAAGAAATAAAGAATTAATTAATTATAAATTCAAAATAGTTGAAGTGTGTTTCGATATAATTTAATAATTATTATTTGCTACAGATTAATAAAAATGATAGGATCAAAATAAATTAAGTAATTCATTATTCTTTAATTGAGCAGTTAATTGATCAATTAATTAATTAATTGAAGAAAAATAATTAAATTAAAAATTAATTGAATAAAAAGATTAAATAATTAAAGAAATAAAGAATTAATTAATTATAAATTCAAAATAGTTGAAGTGTGTTTCGATATAATTTAATAATTATTATTTGCTACAGATTAATAAAAATGATAGGATCAAAATAAATTAAGTAATTCATTAATTCTTCAATTAAGTAGTTAATTGATCAATTAATTAATTGAAGAATTAAATAATTAGTTGATTAAAAGATTAAATAATTCAAGAATTAATTAATTAAAGAAATAAAGAATTAATTAATTATAAATTCAAAATAGTTGAAGTGTGTTTCGATATAATTTAATAATTATTATTTGCTACAGATTAATAAAAATGATAGGATCAAAATAAATTAAGTAATTCATTATTTCTTTAATTGAGCAGTTAATTGATCAATTAATTAATTGAAGAATTAAATAATTAATTGATTAAAAGATTAAATTAATTAAAGAATTAATTAATTAAAATTCAAAATAGTTGAAGTTTCGATATAATTTAATAATTATTATTTGCTAATTAATAAAGATATAGTTAGAAATTGATCAATTAATAATAATTGAATTATAATTGATAAAAGATTAAATAAAAATAATTAATTTAAAGATTAATTAATTGCTATAATTCTTAATTAGATCAATTAAATAATTATTAATTGAATTTAATTGATCAATTAATTAATTAATTGAAAAATTAAATAATTAATTGATTAAATAATTAATTGATTAAAGAATAAAATAAGAAATAATTAATTATAAATTTAAAATAGTTGAAGTGTAATACTTTTTTTTAATACTGTGTAATTAATTTCTTTTTCTGGCTATTAGTGATTTACCAGATGAAGAGACCGAAGGCGCTGCAACGTTAATCATTTCGGACTCGCATCCTGGATGGATCGGCTCGATGTATCTCTCATGCTTGCAATCCTGACGTGATAATCTGAGTTCTCTGAAGAGAGAACCGTCAGCGCATCTAGGACCCTCCGAGGAAGCCTCCTGCAGCCATCCTCGTAGCCAAAGCATGCCGCAAGAACAGGACAATGGATTTCCTTTGCCGGAAATAGAGAAAGATATATAAGTACAATGACGTATAGTAAAGTATGCAAATATCGAACAATGTTTGTACATCAAAGAAACCCGAAGCGAATAAATAAATTTCATCTTAAATAATTCATTTAAAAATAATTCTAAAGTAAATAAAAATAATTAATTTGATAAATGATTGATTCGAAAAATAAAATGGTTTAATAAATATAATTGATTCAAAAAATAATTATAAAATAAATTAAAAATAATTTTGAATTTGATAATAATTGATTTAATAAATAAATTGATTTGATAAATAACTGATTTGAAAACTAATTATAAAATTAATTAAAAATAAATAATTTGATAATAATTGATTCAATAACTAAATTGAGTTGATAAATAATTGATTTAAAAAATGACTCTAAAATAAATTAAAAATTTGATAAACAATTGATTCGATAATTAAATTGCGGTTTGATAAACAATATCGATCAGAAAAATAATTCCGAAATAAATTGGAAATAACTTATTTAATTAAAATAAAAAAATGTTTTGAATCGATTCAATTAACATTGAATTACCGTCGATGTCCAAGACGGCGATGTTCGATCTCAGTCTCTTGAAGGCATTTTCGGAAACCGCGGTCATCCGATTGCTTCGCAGACTCAGCACACGTAATCTCGGCATATCGTCAAAAGGCGAGCCGTGCACGGCGCAAATTCGATTGTTGTCCATCTACAGAGAGAGAGAGAGAGAGAGGAGAGTAAAAAATGGCCTATGTAAAATACGACCTCGACTATCTCCCTTAATTAACGATGCAGGTATATATACGAATAATAATTGCTCCGCCAGCAGAACGGCCGCTCGTCTCGCACCATGGTTCACGCAGGAGTTTCACTCTCGACGAGAAAGTATTCTCTCCTTTATATTAGCGAAACGCTTCTCGCGCTCTGGCCATTTGGTTGGTAATTTTTTACAAATCGTTCCTCGCGCACGAAATTCATTTCTTCGCAATTAATTACGCGGAGCGTGTTGCTTTACACACACATATATTTTTTGGAAGCAATATATGTTATTAGAGCGAAATATATATTAATTAGAGCGAGATTAGCGTGCGAGATATTTTTTAATGTCTGAAAATTTAGGTTGTGAAATTGTTATTTTTATTAAATAAATTACCTTCAATTCCACCAGCCATTCCATAGCTGCCAGACTGTCGCTCGAGACTCTCGATAGCCGATTGTAGCTGAGATCGAGGACCTCCAACGAGTGAAGGCTCTCCAAGCCGATGTACTCTAGCCCCGGCAGATTATTATGACTTAGATTAAGGAATAGCAAGTGTGGCACGTTAATGAAGGCATTACTGGCGATTTCCTGGATCCGATTTTCCTGTAGTTCCGCGCTCTGTAGCAACGGCAGCTCGGTGAAAGCGCCGCTTGGAATTGACTGCAAAATTGCGCATTTAATCCTCTTTTTTAACATAAAGTATTCAAAATATTTTTTATATAAAAATTAGACATCCGTATTATGCGATATAAATTTCAAATATATGAATAAATTGATTGGGTAAATAATTGATCTGAAAAATAATTCTGAAATAAATTAAAAATAATTATTTGATAAATAGTTGATTCGACAAATAGATTGGTTTGATAAATAATTGTTTCGATAAATAAATTGGTTTGATAAGTAATTGATTTGAAAAACAATTCTAAAATGAATTAAAAATCATTTTAATTTGATAAATAGTTGATAAATAAATTGAGTTGATAAAATAATTTAATTCTAAAATGAATTAAAAATAATTAATTTAATAAATAGTTGATTTGATAAATAAATTGAGTTGATAAATAATTTATTTGAAAAATAATTCTAAAATAAAAGGAAAACATTAAATATTTGAGCTCACACACATGAAGCTTTTTCAACTCTTCAATCTAAATTATGATAAAGAGGACCTAAAGGGTTTGTTTACTTTCATTGAACAACTATTATTTGAATTTCCTTATAAATCAGATCTTGTTGAATTACGCTATTTATCGTACCTGCAATCGATTCCTGCCGAGTCTGACGGCCTGCAGTTCCGGCAAGGCTTTGATCGCGTTCCTCTCGATCACCCTAAGATCGTTGTCCTCGAGATCGATCAGGGACAGCCGCTGCAGCCCATCGAACGCGCCCTCACGCAACTCTCGTATGCGATTTCTAACGAGTTTTAGCTCGAGCAAGGACGAGAGGCTGCTTAACGTTTCCGGCGATAGAATGTTCAGCTTGTTGAAGCTCAAGTCGAGGACCCGAAGAGCCGTTAAGCCGTGCAGCGATCCGGGTAACTCGGTCAAAGTGTTGTGTGAGGCGTATAGTTCACGAAGCTCTCTGCAATTATTGTTGAACGCGGAGTAAAAATTAAATAATTTATTTTTTTCCTAAGGTGACATTCAAAGATATGTAGAAGATCGAGACGTCATTTTAATTTTTCTTCGGAACGTTATTCGGAGTATTTTTGATTAAAAAGATTTTTCATCGCCAGATTTAGTGGAATTTAAATTATTATTAAAGTGCTATTTGTCTCATTCACGTTTTTCTTAGACCACTTAAATTTAATTAAAATGTATTATATTAAAAGAAAACCTTTGAAAGAATATTTCGATGCAATATAATTAAATTTGATAGACGAGATTAAATAAAATTACGTATAAAAATGAATCAAGTTACTGCCAAATTAGTCGACACGCCAGGCCGATGCTACACAACGACAAGAAAGAGATATTAGCGTGTGCACGAAGAACTTTCTAGGTACCAATTTAAGAGTGATGCAATCAAGTAACCACAAGTGAAACTGCTTTTCCACTAGAATACGAGAGCACGAGGTAACAAAGGAGGGGAGAATCGCCTCCATTGTTAATACTATATACACTACTGTCACTACATATTTGATTAAATTAATATAAATTTTATTCAATTTTTTATATTATTTAAATTATTTTTAAATTATAAATATATAAAATAATTAAATATATTATAATTGAAATATATTTTGAATATATTATATTATATAATTTAATTATATGGTATATAATATATTTAATATATTATATTATATAATTTAAATATATTCTAAAAAATATAATATACAACATATAACATATTTTGCATATTATTAGAAAATTGTTAAAAATCGTACCTGGTATTGGCGAAGGTAGCGTGAGGGATTTGAGCGAGATTATTTCTGCTGAGATCAATCCTCTGCAATCTGGCGTTCTCCTGAAATATATCCGGTCGTAAAACTTCCACTCGATTGCCCCGAAGATTCACGTCCATCAGGGATTTCAGAGGTCGAAAGCTTCGTCCGTGCAAAGTGGCCAGTCGATTGTACTTCAAGTCCAGTTGCTCCAATCTAGAGAGTCCGTCGAAAACACCGTCGTCTATGAGCCTCAGGGTATTGTAGCCCAGACTCAATTTTCTCAAGTTCGACAGGTGGACCAGCGTGCCGGATGGAATTCTCTCGATTCTATTCGCGCTTAGATCCAGCGATCTTAGCGCCGGCAGAGCCAGATCCTGAGAGGACACGACTGGAAGAGCGGCGATACGGTTCATGGGCATGTGAAGGTGCTCGATGTCCTTCGGTAGACCAGGGACCACTGCTGACATACGATTCCAGCCGACGTCCAGCTCGTACAGGTTCGTCAGGTGTCGAAAGGTCAAGGGATGAAGGTTGGACAGGGCGTTTCTGGAGACGTTGACGTGCTCCAGCGCAGGAGTGCTGAGGAAGGACTCAGGTTCGATGAGCCCGATGGCGTTTCCGCTGAGATCCAACCGTCTGAGGTTCGGCAGATTGTCGAACAAACGCGGCTCTATGTGACGGAAGTAGTTCTCCGAAAGATCCAGACCCTGGAATCATTATAAAATTGATATTGAGATATTACTGATACTTGAGATGGTGCTGGAGCTGACTCTGTTTGGAAAATTTGTAATTTTATTTTTATTTTTTATTGCTTATATACCTATATATTCAAATATACTAAAAATTTCATGTATAATATTCGGGAACTTATTTTTATTGCTCTTTTTTATGTTATTACTTAAATATTGTACCTTAACTTCAATCGAGAAACTATTTCTAAGAATGAAAATTTGTTTAAAAATTGCTTAGAAATGCAAGAAATGCAAAAATGTATGTTTAACTTCTGCTCTTTATTCATCATTGTTAATTGTTTAAAATTGAAAAAAATCTTTACCTTTAACGCTGGCAGATTCCAGAAGGGAGCTTCCAGAAGATTCGACAAGGAATTGTTCTTCAGTCTGAGCTCCCTGAGCGCCGGCATCGCCGTAAACGTTTCTCTCTGCAAAAACGCCAGTCTGTTATGGTTCAGATGGAGTCTCTCCAAAGTGGGATGGCCTCTTAGAGCACCGAAGGGTATTTCCTCTAGCTGATTGTGGCTGGCGTCTAAGAACTTCAACCTTGGAAGAGCCTCGAGCACCGAGCGTATCTCAGCCACGTGGCTAAGGTCATTGTTGATCAGCCACATCTCTTCCAACGCGTTTCCCGTCCGATGCGGAAAGAATTCCGGATGAATACGATGGATCAGGTTGTGATTCAGGTCCACGGACTTGAGTGCCGGCACTCGTTGAAAGGCCTCGGCGAATATCTCCGTGATGTGATTGCGCGACAAGGAGAGGCGCGATAAAACCGGAAGATCAACGAAGGAGCCTTCGCCCAGACGATTAATCCGATTCCGATCCAGACGTATCATCGACAACGACGGGAGATCCATGCAGGCTCGACCGACCATACCGGCGTCGATGATCGCGTTTCCGACCAGCGAGATCTCCCTGAGCTCCGGCAGATCGATCATCGCCCGCGGATGGATCCAATGAATCCCGGAATCGGTGACGTTGATCAGTTCCAGTCGCGGCAGACCACGCAGAAGACTGGCCTCCAGTCGCGTCAGTCTGGGGCTGCCGAACACGTGCAGCTGCTCCAGATTGGGAATGTCGCGAAAGTTCCTCGGGGCGAGTTCCAGCAAGGCCGGGGAGTTGATCTGCAAGTACCGCAGCTTCGGCAAACCGGTGAACTTGGGCAGTCGCTTTATCACGCGACTCTGCAACGTCACCGCCTCGAGACCCTGCAGGTTCTCCAAACTGTCCGCGGGCAGAGATCGCAGATCGGGCTCGACGATGAAGAGCTCCAGTAGGGAATCGTGCAGACCCTCCAGCCAGCCGGACGACACCCTCTCGAGCCGATTGTTCCGCAGCATCAGGCGCAAGACTCGCAGAGTCGCGAACACCTTGCCGGGTAGACTAGGTAGGTTGTTATTCTCCAGGATCAGTTCGTCCACCGGTTGGTTCACGTAGTGGCTCACCGCCTTTAGGCCTTCCAGCACCTTTGGTAACTCGCTATGGCTGCACCTGCGCACGAATTTGTTGTTTGGTTCAGTACATTTCGGTCTGAAAATGGTCCCTTTTAATTTTAGGATTAACAGATCCTGAACTTGCCATATCTGAATCTCCATGTCGCGCGTCGAACATCTGCAGGGCAAGATCCTTTCCTGGGGCGGGCATCCGTAATCGGGATCCAACTGGGCACCGGCACCGAGGGAACGGAGTGCCAGAAGCCAGCCGACTATCAGAAGTCCACCGCCTTCCGACGGCCTGACCATCGCGCATTTGGACCGTAGTCTACGAGCAGCAGTTCCTCATCTTCTGGAACATGCATTCGCACGCAAACGAACGAATACGAAGTGTGAAGAAACCGAGCGCTAAAATGGATCGATCCCTCGAAATGTCAATTACAGATCATGCCATACGTTTCAAAAGTCGATGACTGAATTTCACATTCAAGACTATTCTTCCTTATTATTAATTTCCTAAATTGAACTGGCGTCTAATGATATGATTTCGACATTTAATGATGTTAGTTTGCTACCTGGGTTATCCTTTTTTACTCCACATTAGAAGGAAAGAGATAAATTCTGAACTAGTGCAGCCAGTTCAACTGAAAAGAATACATCTTAAGGGGATGCTGACTAGGTTTGTTTTATCGACAAATATTATTTTCATTTCACTCTTTTATTGGCTATACAGAATGAAAAATATTTTAAGTCTAGTAAAAGATTTGTCAGTTTGCTACCTGGGTTATCTTTTTTTACTCCACATTAGAAGGAAAGAGATAAATTCTGAACTAGTGCAGCCAGTTCAACTGAAAAGAATAGATCTTAAGGGGATGCTGACTAGGTCTGTTTTATCGACAAATAATTTCATTTAACTCTTTTATTGGCTATACAGAATGAAAAATATTTTAATTCTAGTAAAAGATTTTTCATTCTGTACAGCTAATAGAGAGTTAAATAGAAATAATATTTATCTATAGAACAAACCTAATCAGTATCCCTTTAATCCAGGCAGCAAACTGACGTCACTAAACGTCAAAATGACGTTAGGAGCACGATGCGGGAACAAAAAGCTGTAAGGTCGCTCTTATAATTTATTAATCGCCAAAAGATCATTAGGAAAGTAGCAGGAACGAGTTTCGACACCTGTGTAAGAGCAATTATGAGGTTTCTTCGTCTACGGAGACGCCAAGTTGGACAGAGAAATCTCGTTGGCGAGACGAAACGACCGATTATTATCGGATTTTTAGGCGTTAAGAGCCCTTCACGGACACGTCACGGTGTGGCTCTGTATCCTGGGCGCGACGGCTCACGCATCTGGGTGTACATACGCGTGTTGTGCAGAAGTCACGGTCGTAGACGACAAAATTGATGCCCCGTACCGTAAGCAAAGCTAAAGACCGCTAGGACAATCGTCGTCCGTAATAATTGCCGTCGCGCGAGCTCGCTCTTGATGTGTCTATACAGTAACGACGAATGGCGAACCGGGGAAGGCGTCTCGTGTTTGTTTGAAAATTTCGCACCTCGCAAAAAAAGAAAGTCGGAGAGATCGTATACTTTATTAAGTACGCGGCACTCGTTCGCTTAATAATAAATTATCGAAAGAGCACACGTGTCGGGAATGAAATATTATCAAATCATGCAGTTGTGATAATTAGTTGAGAATTATCAGATTACATTTTGCTCCGCTTCCTCTATTTTGTTTATCAGCGAATAATATCGGGCTGATTCGTAAATAAGATTTGTTTCTTTTGCTTAACAAACTCAATGTTTATGTTTGAAATTATTTACAATAAGCTTCAGTCTATTTTATGTTCTCCATTATTAAGCACAATTTGATTTTATTTGGAAATTTTAATGCAAAACAATTTTAAGAATTCATCGATTTCAGCATTATTTTAAATCTTTTCCACTTAATAAATTTTGAAAAATCACATGCTTGTGATTAATGACAACTAGTCTTTTTTTTGCAATTTGTCTTGTGTTCATTGATGCAGTTGTTGCACGCATGCATCTGCTGTGATTGATTAATTTCGACTTAAAATTGTGATTTCTCAAAAGAAGTTAATTTAATTACTTTTATTTATGAATGAACTCAAATATACCAATATTTGAATTTATTACAATATTTAGCATAATCATCAGAAATGAGAAGAGCAAATCGCGATTAAAATGAGAATAGATTGCAATTTGGCGTGAGTCTGTGCGTGCAAAAAGATAAAGACGTTCACCAGAGAGGAGATCTTGTCACGAGGAAACGCGAGGATTTCGTAATGCGTCTTGAAGAAGAGGCAAAACAATCGGACGGCCTGAAAAGTCATTCGCACGTGAAAAACGTCGATATAGCGCGATATACGAATTCGAGATCGAATCTTGTTGCATCAGTAGAAAGAGTCGTCTCTGACGCATCTGCTTCCGCATTTCGAGATCCTCCGCAAGTATTTTTTGGTATCATCGGGTATTTTGCATTATCAGTGGAATGGAAAATCTGAGGATAAGTCTGGAGATCTGGAAAACTGGGTATCTTAATGTTTTGCTCCGATTTATATTTCTACAAGTCTTTTTTAATGTATGATAAGAAAGATAATTTACTTATTATTCATATGATATTTGTTTAAAATAATATTGCATTTTATACAATTTTGGAAGAATACTCTCTGATAATTGTGCAATTAATTGTTCTCCAGTTCCATCGCTATATCATTGTAATCACGAATTTCGATCAAACACAATAAGGCACAATGAGAGGCAATTTTAGTGAAAGTGATTCCCACTTCCTCGATATTTTGCCGTCATTGACCCCCGAGTGTTTTTCTTATTTTCTCAATGCGAATGATAATTTCGCGTCGTTATGTAATTGCACGAAGAAAATTGTGCGTCTTTTAACGAAGATGCAACCATTAAATGCAATTATGTGGGGATATGGACAGTACGAAAACTTTAATTAAGTCATGGATCTCTTCTCTCTATAATTAAATTTTGCGAAAAGTGTCTTTATATTTAATTGATCCTATTAAAGTCCTTTGATTTACACAGAGGACTAATTCCAGGGTTGGGTAAAATACCTAGTTAATTAATTAAAAGTTAATAACTTTTAACTTAGCTTAATTAATTAAAAATGTATTAATTTTTAACTTTAACTAGTTATTTTTGACCGTAAACTTATATCAACTTTTTTTCTAAGTTAAATTTTTTTTATCTTTGAACATATAATTATATTTTATCTTTGAACGTATTATTTTTAAATTAAAGTATTATTAATTTTTATGTTTATTTGTAATTACTAAAAAATATATGTCTATATAAAAATCAAGATGTCTTAATATTTGTTATTATAAATTATAAAAATGAATAAACAAAATTCTAATTTAATATAAATAATGTTTTTAAAAATTAACTTTTGATTTAACTTCAGTTAATTTCATTTTAACTTCAAATGTGTTAATTTTTTATTTATACAACTGTTAACTTAACTAAATTAATTAAATTAATTTTATAAGCAACTAACTTTAACTTGACTTAATTTTAAAAAATTATTAACTTTCCCAACCCTGATTTTTAGTATGTTATAAAAATTTACTGGAGCCAAATGAGGAGAAAATGTGTTTTGACCGATTTTTCCTTCGAAATTAATTAAAGAAAATGTCAAATTTAATATAAAATTCTGTACTTTCGCAACTATAAGATATTTTACCTTCTATATCAGTGTTGTTCGCCAACTAATGCCTCGCTTCTGTAAAATCCTGAAGAATTTTGTTTTCTCTTTCTTTCAGTAAAAAAAAAAAAAAATAACAAAATTCACGAAGAAGAAGAAATGTATGTCCACTCAGTCTTTTTGCGCGTCAAAAGCGTTTTCTTTTCAGGGCGAACCGGCTTTTATTTCACCACTTTGTTTTTTTTTCTGACACTGTCTCCCGAGTCCCGCGAGTCTCTTCGTGATCTCGTTACGGGCGCCAACTAAATGCATCGAAGAGGTTGTTCGCAAAAGCGTGGTGGTTTGCACAAAGTCGAGGGGAGAAGATGACGGCGGGAGGGACGACGAAGAGAATTGCGAAGCGCGTGTCCAGCCACCGTGAAGACACGCTTCCAGGAAATTCTTTCCTTTCCCCACGAATATAACCAATCGCCGAATGTAATTCGGCATCGCTGAAAAATCTTCTTCCTTTCGTTTCCACTTCGCACACTTGATGATGCACCTAGAATCGAACGCGACCCCCAATCATACTTATAGATATCGAAATATCTAAGAAAAAGAAGAAATCATTCAATAATTAAGTCAATTATGCAATCTAATATTATTTTTAAAAATGCGATAAATTTATATTATATGTAAAAGTAGATCAACCAAAGAAAAGTGACATAAAATATGCAGAATAATCTTGTAATATTCGCTGATGATTTTTAAACACTTACAATCATCTGATAAAAAAAAATCATGAACAGGCAAATTGCAATAATAAAAATTGAAGCAAGATTATTTGGATTTTTTTAAAATAAAATCACCATGGTTTTTTTTAATATGCAGAGGACAGCAAAATAAATTCTATGAGTATACATAATTTTTAAAGAGCGGACATTGTTTTCACCACAAATTCCCGATTTTGTGGCGGAATCTCGAGTGGAGAAATCCAAAAGCTCAGAAAAATTCTAGCTTAGTAATTTGTGATTTTTTAAACACAAAAATACATGAAGATAAAATTCTCTGTAGAAATTGCGATGCTTCATGTCACTTGTCGGATAGATAAGTGGACTTTCGAAAACACGACTGAGAGAGAATCCTAATCACATTAATAGAAATACCAGCACAGCATTTTGTCATTACGGATCACAGATTAATTAACTAAGAGTATTCATGAGATGATGTAGAAATGTTGGACGAGAAATTTACTCCTAGAAAGCGATTGATATGTCGAAGATATTTATTAAGAGACAAAAATAATCTGACAATGAATCTCCAGAATGACATGAAAAGTTTGCACCATGCTCTGAGATGAAGAATTTGATAAAAGTTTAAATATTGATATGATGTGTCTCATCCCAACTCATGATAAAATTTATGATATTGTTGCTTCAAGATTGTTTATACATTATAAATCAGTGATAAACACACTTATTCAACTGACAGTTCCATTCTTTGTGGCGATCAGCTGATGAACTGTCAAATATTTGGAACTGTTAAATATGTGTTTCGAGCAACCGTGGCCAGATAATTTTTTCCGAAGAAAGATTTGTCGCAAAATGTCAAGCATTAGGGATGATTAGAGTTATTGAAAGTTAAGCATTCTTTGCCTTATTCATTCATTTGCTGATGATCATCTAATCTAGAGATCGAAATGTATATTTAAAAAAATCATAAATTTTATTTTAGAAGAAAAAATCTGCGCTTTAATTTATTTAATCTATATTATATTTAAATCTATATTATTGTTTTACTTGTAAGTATTTAACTTTTAATTTAATTTAATTTGAAACTGAAAGAATTTATATCCTGCACATCGATAAGAGAGGAATAATATATTATGGTGCAAAAATTCCTTTTATTCTTCCTGTCAACCTTCGTATCTCGATATTTATATAACATTACGCATGATATCTTTTTCTTATATGCTAACGTTTCGTTTTTTTATGTGGAGTTTACAGCAATAACCGGTTTAGAGAATTGTACGAGAAAAAGGTTGTATCGCTATTGGTTCGTATTGCCAAGCCTCCATCGATTAAAGTACAAATGTCATAGACAAGTAGATAATGTAAACAGTGAATTTCAACATCAATCCGGTTTCTCCAAAAAAACTAACAGTACTTGATGACATTTAATAAAAATAGTAAATATGTTTATTTATAAGTAATAATGTTATCTGTGTTTTATTGTAATTTATCAATAATATAACATAAAATTCTTATATTGTCAATCGAATTCAAATAAACGTGATACAAGAAATCACGATTTATTTAATTATATTGTACATTGAACTATATATTTAATAGAGATATCCATTTCTATTAAATTTATCAAGGATTAAAATTTATATAAAATATAATTAAAAAAATTCAATTTTTCTCCTACAAATAAAATTATTGTAAAATGTTTTCTGATGGTGTAGTTTGTTGTAGATGAGAAAAATTCGAATCTTTCTATAATTACAAGCGAAAAAGCTATCTAGAGTTGCATAAGATTGATATTCACATGTATGTATTATATATGCATAGAATTGCAAGAAAACAAGACTAATTGCAGCATTTAAAATTCTTCTTATATTATGTAGTGACAGGTACACACGTCTAGATCACACAACATCCGTTCTAACTGGTTTTCAAAACGGGCCGTGATATAATGTGATTTTATTGCTCAAGACTGTTCAGTTGTTTATCAACCACAGACGAAGAAGGACTAAATCATTCTGCTCTTCACAAAACTTCGAAAAAATAAATATATGTATATTTATTCTTGATACACTTTGCAATACTTTGAATGACTTTTTTCTATATAACATTCCTCTTATATTTTAAAAATTTATCGTAAAAAATAAAATCATTAAAAGATACAGTTAATCGCAAACTCTGTCATTTTTTGAGAATCGTGCGATATTATTTTATAAGATATAATGTTATGCAAAAATATCATTCGAGTCTTTTATTCCTTCGCGAGAAGCATTCGCAGAAGTTTTCACGTGTCTGGCAATCTTAATCGCAAAGAAACTGATGGAGCCAAGTGCATTAATACAAATAATACACTTAAACCGCCGAGGATACTGATAACAGGTAAGCACGATGCGATTAAATATATTAACAATGTAAAAAGTTAATCAAAAACATACATGGATTTATTAAAATGTAAATTAAGTATGATTAAAGTATACATTAAAAGAACATAACGGAAAATCGTGACAGACGTTTCAGTCCTTAACTGGTCTCTCTTCAATGTAAATTGAAATGATACAAGGTTATACAAATCCGTTAGAAATTAGAAATTAAATATTACAATCATTACAATTAAAAAACGCAGATATTAAGCGCAATAAGGTGTAATTGGTAAAAGAATAGCGCCGAGAAGGTTCCGATGTGAATTTCAAAATTATTTATCGGGAATCCAACAACAAAATTATTCCAAGAAAATTGCGGTATTCAATATTCAAACAACTCGAAATAACCGCCTCTAAGATATTACAGTTAAACTAAACGGATGGCCCGAAGATAAATTATTAAATAAAATATATTAAGATAGACTTACATCAGAAATGTTTTGAAATTGATCCAAGTTTCAGTGTTATTAATTTATCAATGTGGACAGGTGAATAGCTACGTGTGTAATGTAAGAGCGAAGTCGATGTTGGCAGCTTTACGAGCTGTCAATTCCACATGTCAAAAAAGATGCCAATTCACATTGTGCATAATTAGAGGCTATCTATACCGCTAAAAGTTTTTCACACATTATTATGTCAAAAATAACGTATCGTTGGAAAGGAAAAATAGTATCTAAAAAAACTTATGAAAAAAGAATCGCTCAACGAAAAAGTGGCGAGAAGAAAAGAAAAATCTCAAAAGAGAATGAAGAAAAAGTAGTGGATGAAATTGAGGACGTTATTGAAGAACAATCTGATTTTAAAAACGGACGACGTATTGTTGATTTAAAAATTCTTGGTCAACAATTATGGTGTATATCCTACAAAGAAGCTTTATCTTTGGAATACATCGAAAATGAGATACGCCGTGGATTGGGTTCACAACTCATAGTGCGATGTCATAAATGTTTACTTCTCAATCAAATTATTACAGATAAGAAGCTATTATCAAATGTATTATCAAATGACAAACGTAGTGCTTGTTTTGATATTAACTATAAAACTGCTTTAGGTAAATTTTAATACGATCAATTAAAATTAATATTAATCAAAATTAATATTGGTCGCTAGTGGTGAAAATAAGCTCGTTGACGAAACATCATAACGATGAGACGTGTTCCTCTTTTAACTTTTAACTTTTAACATTATAACGATGGGACGTGTTCCTCTTTTAACTTTTAACTTTCGATTTTAAATAATACCAGTGTGATGTTACGTTAATCTCAGTTTAATTGATGGAAATTTCACTTGAAAAGGACCACAACCAAATGGTCGAAACGTCGTGAAAGAATTAAATAAAATTTGCTAGTTACGTCGAAGTCAAGTTTTCCAAGCGTAAATTTTAATATTTAAATAACAAATTTAATTATTCTAATTTTAATTATACATATATTTATTTTCTTGGATTATTTCCATCTCAGGTGCTTTGCACGCTGGATTAGGATAAACACATCTCTCGAAATTATTTGAAATGAAAACTCTAGAAAATATTTATAATGTTTCTGACAGAGATGGCCTTCATAAATTTTTCAAGGAAAAACTTCAAAAGAAAATTTTGAAAGGATTACGTAAATCTACAGTTAAAAAAATTATCGATTGGTTTAGCAAATAAATTTCAACACTTTTAATACTATACATATATATAATTAATTATTTTTACTGTGTAAAGAGATTTTAATATGTAATACTGTGCATTTTTTTATATTATAAAAATGTATTTGTATAATATTAATAATAAATTATTATAATAAAAAAATTCATATAATAATAAATAAATATTAATAATAAAAATAATAAATAATAAATAATAAATAGTAATAAATTGGAAAAATTAATATAATATATATAATAAATTAGTTATTTTGAAATCTTTCTTTCCTTGTCGGTCTAATTTTTTAACAGTGTATATATAAATTTTGTGATATATATCTATATGGAATCTCAGCTGTTTCCAATGTTACTGCACTTCTACATCCAACGTTAGAGAAATAAGAAAAATAGCCAGAATTTCAATAAATTTCAATCATTTTAACCATTTCAATTATCATTTTCTTCTAAACGGTTTAGTAAATATTAATATAATATTGCAAAAGTGTTCCTTAAAGTTTCAGTTGTATATGTAAAAAATTTGAAATATATGATACCATTTTTTGATACTTTTAACGTAATAAAATTGTTCAGTCATGAATCTTTATAAGATATATGTAAAAGTAGCAGAAATTGCGGAAATTCAAATTACAATAACTTTTAATGGGTTAGTGAATTAATTCCAAATTTTGACAGTAGCTTTAGTATTAAAGTGGAAACGATTTGTATAATTTTCATGAATTTTGTACCATTTTTAAATGTCTCCCATACATCCTTAAACGATAAAACACGCAATTATATTTGCATTTTTTAAGAGATATTTAACGAAGTTTATGACATAATTATATAATTTATCTAATATTAGATAAATAATATTATAAATAATAAATATAATATAATAAATATAATTTATAAATATAATATTTATAGTAATATTATAAATAATATTAGTAAAAATATTTCATGTATCAAATCGCATGATTGTTCTTTGTAATTTGAGACTTTATCCAAAAGTGTCGTGCACAAAATAATGTCTCCACTTGTTTGTTTTATTAAAAATGCCAAATATGTCTTCATCAAGGAAATACGATTTTTCAGGGGGTCTCGGACAATTAGGGACGGAATGCGCGAAGTTGCTTCGTCGGAATTACGGTAACGAGAGTGTCATATTATCGGACATTATCAAGCCTACGGAGGAGAGTCTGGAGAACGGACCCTTTATTTTCGCGGATATCCTCGACTTCAAGGGTCTGCAAAAAATCGTTGTCGACTACAGGATCGACTGGCTCATTCACTTCAGCGCTCTTCTTAGCGCTGTTGGCGAGCAAAATGTTCCTCTAGCTGTCAGAGTCAATATCGAAGGTGAGAGTTAAATGATCCATCTGTTTTTACATAAAGAGAATTTTTGCTTAGAATTTACCCTGAAAATTATAGTAATTATGGGACAATATGGAAGAATTTTGTAAGAGTTTCTCTGATTAATATATATTACTATAACAAATATATCAGGATTGGGTGATAACTAGTTAATTAATTAAAAGTTTAAAAAAGTTAGAAAATTAATAACTTTTAACTTATTGTTAGCTTAGTTAATTTAAAATATATTAATTTAACTTTAGTTAAATCAAAATTTAATTTAATATTATCTTTAACCGAGTCAATTTTCATTTATGCAACTTTTAACTAAATTAATTTTATAAGCAACTAACTTTAACTTAACTTATTATAGTTTAAAAAAATCATTAACTTACTTAAAATATTTTTTATTGTGATAAATATTTTTAATCAGAGAAACTCTTATGAAATTCTTTCAATATCATATATTGTCTCATAATTTTCAGGGAAAATTCTTTTCGTACATCTAGACGAGTAGCAGGATCTAAAGTTTGAAGTTTAGCAGTGCTTTGAATAAAAAATATTTTAGAAATATTTTAGAAAATTTAGAAATAAATTGAATACACCTATTATTAAATAGGGGACTATTGTATATTTTTTCACTTCATTTAGTAGAAAAAGTGTGAATTTTTTTTGTACGCGTGAAATAGCTTTCCGCGCACTGCACTCGAGTGAAATGGAATGTTATAACGAGTGAATTTTGTCATTACGGTAATAATTCTAATACGAAGGGAAGAAAGTTCTCTGGGAGAGAAAGCGGAGACGAGCAGTGATCGAAACGTGTTAGATGCTATCGCATATACATACTCTTCTACGCAGATACACCTGAAGAAAAAAAATCAATTGTTTGAAAATCGATATCGAATAATTGTAATATATATCTATACATCATTTAAAATTTGTTCAATCCCATAATTCCATATCAAATAATTATTATGATCCCCTCGCGATGTAGGGATGCACAATGTCATCGAATTGGCGAAGCAGTACAAGCTGAGAATCTTCATTCCGTCGACGATCGGCGCGTTCGGTCCAGATTCGCCGAGGAATCCGACTCCGAATGTCACGGTGCAACGACCACGCACCATCTACGGGGTCAGCAAGGTCCACGCCGAACTTTTGGGAGAATATTATCATCATAGGTTCGGCCTCGACTTCCGGTGCCTTCGATTCCCCGGCGTGATCAGCTGCGATCCACCCGGAGGTGGAACCACAGGTGAGACAATTTGTTGCTGCTTCTCCGTTATTTTAACTAATATATACACACAATCTACGTCTTTCGAGGAATTTTCAGTAGTAATCCACCTGGAGGTGGAACCACAAGTGAGGGAATTTGTTGATTCTCTTTTATTTTCATTAAATCTGTAAATGTTTACTTTCCATTAATTTATCAGAATAAAGGATTTTGTACCAAATACATATAGGATTTTGACTTTCGGAATTGACTGTTTTTTTTTCATATGTTGTAGTTTCTGTCCCGCTGAATAAAAAAGATGTAATAACCTCATCAAAGCTAAGTATTGGATAGTTATTGAATTAACCAAACAGTAAATCAGTAACTACTTAATTATTATTTAGCTTTCAACCTATTACATTTTTTGTTCAGCAAGTCAACATATGAAAAAACCAGCTGATCTAAGATTCAATTTTATTTATGATTACTACCGGGTTTCTAAACCTGTATAAAATCATGGATAATATGAAATCCGGATAAAATCAACTGAGTTGCTCACATGTTGTAAGTTATGACTTGCTGAACAAAAAATGTAATAAACTCAAAGCTAAATAATTTAGATGGTTATTGATTTACAGCCAATCAAACACAAAAAATTAGGACTTTGCGAGTTGTTTGACTGGCTGTTTCTCAGTAATTATCCAATTTTTAACTATTACATCATAAGCTACAATATATGAAAAAAAATGTAGCCAATTCCATCGAAAGCCAAAACCCCAGTATTTTGTTCTTTGTATGTATAATTAGCTAAATTTTTATCTAATGATTAAATGATAAGATAAAATTATATTCGCATTTTTTATTTTATCATGCATTTAAGAAAGTAACTTATCGCTCATTTTATGCGCGATCGACTCCGACGTATAAAATTAAAAAATAGTTTAATTTGTAAAAAAAATTTAGAATTATTTTTCAAAACATATAATCTTATCTAATTATCAAAGACAACATTAATGAACGCGCGGTGTAAATCTTATATTGATGATTGAATAAATAACATGTTTTTGCAAAAACATGTTTATATCATTTTGCCATAACATTAATTAATGTATGAATGTACTATGGGTTTGTTTTCTCGAACGATGTAATTACGTGTTTTTACATCTTTAAATATTAAAATGAGATGTTTTTCAACTAAAGCGTCGCGATCATACTTTTGCGTGTTCAAGTTTTCCGATTCGCAATAAGATAATCGCGTTCATGCTTAAGGAACGCTTAATATCGTATATAAAACAGGCTGATAACTGAAAATTGATAGAGGCTTTTACCTTCTTTAGTGAAGAAGTAGAGCATTAATCGCGATTAAGTTAAGTGCATGATGATGAAGAATTGTATATGTGTGCGTATCCTTTCTCAAGGACAATGCATATATTCATAAATAAATGCATCGAGTCTCGATCTCTGGTTCGTGAAATCGTTTTTTCCGTTTTCCTTAATTTCCGATGCATAAAAGACTCTGCATTCGCACATCAAAAGTCGAGACGAGATAATGTAAAAACATGTTTTTATATATGTATATAAACATATCATTTATTCGATCGTTTATCTTCGCATCAAAGTCTTCATCGTCCACATTATTAATTAAACTTCAATCGCGCGCAAAAAAAAAATGTAAATTCTATTCAGAAAGAGAGAGAGAGAGAGAGAGAGAGAGAGAGAGAGAGAGAGAGAGAGCAAAATAAATCATCAGAGCAGCCACGAGTTTCTTCAAAAATAACTTGAAATTTCGGTATATGTTTAGTCCGAAGTTTTATACATTCCTCGTCTTTTTTTTTATTTTTCAACAGACATCCTATTTTGTAAATTTTTGAACGACCCGATAATAAATTCTCTCTCTTTTTTTCTATTTTTCGCAGATTATGCTGTAGCGGTATTTCACGAAGGACTGCTGAACAAGAGATACGAGTGTTATTTAGAGCCTCATACTAGGCTGCCGATGATATACATCGAAGATTGTCTGTCGGCGCTCTTTCAGTTCTTGAACACACCCAACGAATTACTTCGTAGACGAGTTTATAACGTCACAGCCATGAGCTTCACCCCCGAGGAGCTGTTCAACGAGCTCTTCAAGTACATACCAGATTTAAAGATTACTTATAAGCCAGATAAAAGACAATGTATCGGTACGTATGTTACACATATGGAGTCCCAAGTAGCAAACTGACGTCATTAAACGTCAAAATGACGTATGTTTGCTAGCTAGAGCGTAAAGAGATATTTAAATGTTCCAAAATTTCATTGTACACCTTGTGACCTTGTAATTTCAGCCGAAAATTGGCCCCAAGTTTTCGACGACAGCGAGGCGCGAAGGGATTGGGGCTGGCGACACAAGTACGATCTACAGAGGCTGGTGAAGTTGATGGTGCAAGACGTCAGCACCAATTTTCTACCGAAACACCGATTGAAAGAAGTCAATAGCTACGTATAATTGTATAAGATACGTATATGTAGCTATTGACTTCTTTCGATTTATGTACACGAGCTTTGCAAAATTTCATATCACGAACCCGACTACGGAAATTCTGCTCGAAAGAAGTCAATAGTTAATGTTTATGAATTGTACGAGAGTCAAAACACGCACGCACATTTGATATATCTCTTAGTATATAAATTATAAGCACAGTATTTATTACAAGATTAACATAGTTGAACAATTATTGATACAAATATTGATAAATAGGATAAAAATATATTTGGAAAAATTCTGCAGAGTGGATCTGAAGAATATGCATAAATAAATTTATACAGAATAGTTATTTGTTAACTTTTTTGATCCAAATCTACATCCATAAAATCTGTAAAATCATCGTTTAGCATTTCCGCGATATTTACCGGAGTCATTTTAGTCTTCTTTGAAGGCGTGTAATAATTTTTCTGGATTTTTCTCAAAGGTGTATCGATTGTATCTGCGGTTCTCGAAGGTGTACCGAATTTATCGGTTCTCTTTGGCGTGCCAGTGAAATCCGAATTTCTAGAAGGCGTAGAAAATCTATCACTTTTTCTCGAAGATAGACCTCCGGGAGTTCCAATTGTATTTTGGGAGAACTTATCTTTGTTGTCGAAATCTGCAAATAAAATGTTATAAGAACATTTTTATTATACAATTTTTTAAATTCTTTTTTACCTTTGTCATTACTATCATCTTCAGTTAAAATTGCACGACTTTCGACAAAGTATGCGTTTGGATGTAGAAGTGGTTTGCTTGCTGGTTTGTTGTGCGCAACTTCAAAATATTTGGCACATGCTAAATGATACTGTCCATCCTTGGCCAAGTCCAATATTTCGGTCACATCTAAAATACAGTAATGTCATGATGCATTAAGTCTTGATGTTGTGACATAAATATTGTACAATAGAAAAAAATAAACATTCTTACTAGAGGCAAATACACCATAACTAGTTAACTTCTGACACAACGAATCGCGATCCATATGTCTGAAAGGACATCCATGATATTCTCCAGGCCCGACAGAGCTAGATATTATTTTCTGGCAGCCGTACGGCGTGTAATTCGTTTGCCTTCCCTCTTTACCAAAGTAGTGCCTAATAGAGTATGCATATTTTTTGTCAAACGCGGCTCCGTCTGTCTTTTTCGAAAATGCATCTCTCCAGAAACGTAGAGCATCTTCTACAGTCACACCTATACCTTTCAGGAATAACCCATACTGCATACGTCCCGAGTTCCTTAGATGGTTGTTGGTGTAAAGTGCATCGTGAAGAGTTCTCATACATAATGGATATGACGTTTTGGACAACTAAAAATTTTATAATGTACATGTACATCAGAAATTAGGCAAATTTATGGAAATTAAATTTTTAAATAATTTAAATGATAACTGGATTCATACATCGTGCAGTTTATCGATGGGTGTAGCTGTAGTTGACCACACAACACGAGCCATTCCAGAGAAAGCTGAAGGAAGACCTGTTAAGTATCTGGTCAGTCTTTCATCATCAGATATGTTATCATAAAGGATCTTTGCGCTCTGCAAAAATACACAATAGAAATTAATTGAATATATTCTTTCTTTAAGATAAAATATTATAGAAAAAGAATGCTTATATACCTCTAATCCTGCGATTAGATTCTCTCTGAAATAACTGATAAATACTGAACTCAGATCCAGATGAGTAACGTATGCCATCCCTGCTTTGAGATATACCTTACGTCCTCTGACTAAATCAATGACTTTCTCAAAAGGCACTTTATAAATATCTGTGATATCTATATTGGTAACTTTCCCAGATGACAAGATGAGTTCTTCTTTCAGTTCCAATTTCTCACTTTGTGAAATCTTAAAGAGCATTAATGGTCATATTAGAATATACGTATTACATTATAATACATTATAAAAAATGCATATAATAAAACATACAGATACGCAATCCATATTACTGATACTCAACAAATGTTCGATGCCCTTTTTGTCTAAGGAGCTAAATCTTAACTTAAAGAATTCCACCTCCTGATTAATAAACCATTTAGTCTGCTCCACATTATGACAATACACAAGTCTCAAAATAAAGTGGGATATGTGATCTTTCCTCCTGGACTGCAAATGATCCTCCGACTGTGGATTAGATCCATCAGCGTACAAGAGATTCCCATAGTATTTGAGTCCATCGGATTTCAAAGAATCGCACAGAGACTTCTTGCGATCTTCCATAGTTTTCAGATCACTTCTACAGTTTGTTGTCTCCACTAATCGCAATGCTGCAACAAAGATGACAGTGATTAAGCTTTATTATCCTGACATTATCCTTTGCACGTGCAAATATATATATATATATATATATATATATATATATATATATATATATATATATAGTCACCTTTTAATCTGTCAAAGCCCAATTCTTGAAATTCTTCCAATGACATTTCACCCACTGGGGGCATATCATACATTTGAATGTCATGAGGATAATCATTTTCGCGACCATTCGTGTCCGCAACAGTTTGACGTCTGCGTGTCTTGTAATCCATCTTAATTTGCACAGTTTATCATACTTTGCACTTTATGCTGCTGACAAAAGGAGACCCAGACGACCTACGAGCATTTTCCCGCTATTTCTCCGTGAGATAAGTCCGAGCCTCGTTTAGTGCTGCCATCTACATCTGTACCACAGTATATACTGTGTATATAGTGTATATAGTATATACTGTGCCTGTACTACAGCTGGAATTATATAGAGAGAAACATGTTTGCAATTATATTAAAATAATTTTATAATTTATAGAAAGTATGAGATATGATAAAAAAATATTCATAATATTATAAGCAAATTGAAACATAAATTATGTATTTATTTTTTGATAGCGAGAACTACAAGAAGGCTTTAGAGAAAGGTAATGCGTCTCCAAAAATTGTGGTGGTCGATTTATAGGCAATGGCACCCTTGGAAGGAGATGTTCAACTATGAGGTGACATTATTAACACCAATACCACACAGCAGATTATTGCACAGTTTGATAACATTCAAGGAGATCTGATGGTGTGTGACGAAGCACCTGATAGTATGTGTCATTTTTCACTTTTGTCATACCTGAATATATTTATCTGCAATGATTAATGCATTTTAGATTTTATTCAGTGACTGGTTTATGTGAAATGGATATATTCATTCAATCGCAGCTTTTATTAGCTGCTCTGAATATAACTACACACATTTTGAGACCTGGTGGAACGTTTGTGGCCCAAATTTTTAGTGCTAAAGACGTATCTTTCTTGTTCGCTCAATTGAGGATATTTTCCCTATTGTACGAAACCCAGTGGTTCTTGCAATTCGAGTAATGAAGCATTTGTAGTCTGTAAAGACTATTCTCCTAGAAGGCTGTAAACCACATATGCTGAACTCTTTACTGACACATGAGCAACTTCGAAGAGCTGACAGGAGTCAATAGAATCATTGTTCCATTTGTTGTATGCGGAGATCTTAGTCAACATGTGCTGATTCCAACATGTGCTATCCACTAAATGTAAGTATAGCATTATTATGGTTTTATTTGTGAATCATAGATTTCTCTAGGAACAATCTTATTTTTTGTATCCTGCTTATATATTTCATTATATCTTGGTTTTATCATTATTTGAAAATTTCAGTAACGAGAGAAGGACACCGCCCTATACTGAGACGTTATCCTCGCCAGAAAGTAGAATAGCCAGTGGAACCAGCGCTTTTGTTTTCGATCATGACACCGATTTTGACGAAGCCGACATCAATAGAGCGATCGAAATCGAAAGTGCGACATGGGCTAAGAAATGTGCATTTATTGGTGCTGTGCAAACCGATTCTGAAACGAACACAACTGCAAAAACTGCTCAGGATAAGAGTAAGGAAGAGGAAACAGCCATCAATGCATTACAGAACTTGTACATATCCAAGGAAGCTGAAAATCTAGATAACTTTGAATAAAATAAATATATTATTTCATATTTGTTAAATAAATATATAAGTACGTTTATACGTGAAAAATATATGTCCTTATTCTCGCGATCTATTAATTTTTCAAAATCAAACATTATCTCGAGAAAACTTTAATTTTTTTACTTTCACAATCAAATAAATTTTCTTCATTTTATGATCTTTTATATACAAAAAGTATATAAAAATGATCTAAACTTAAATAAAATTTGTTAAATATTTATTTATAGAAGAGAATGAATATTTTTATTTCGAATTATTTTATATATAGATAGATATTTATAAAAGTGGACTTATTTTCTGATGTATACCTATAACATATATATATATATATATATATATATATATATATATATACTTTATACGTGTATAATATACATTATTATGATCGCACGAGCGATATTATTGACATACAAACTGGTCACATTGAAATAGCTTAGTAAACACCGGATCGTCACGAGGATAGGTGCATGATCGCGTCTAGATATGTGGCAGAACAAGGTATATTTATTAGAAACGTGCCGCATATATCGGTTTCGGAAAATTTCTTTCTCTTTTTAACAGACGAATAGGGTTTTCCAATTTTGCATCACCACGTGAACAAGATTCATCCTGGTCTGAATGTCGACTGTGTTGCTTATGCAAGAAACTGTTGAACTCATATAGCAGACAAATGTACGTTTGCTGTTACGTTGCCAGTTGTGCGGTGATTTATACGAATCTAAGGAAGATTTCAAGTCTTTCGGTAATTCTACGAAATGAATATTTTATTATTAATCTCGAAATCTGGGAAAATAATCGGCAAATAGGCATATCTGTAAAAAATCGCGAAATTAAAAGTTTCGACACTGGAAGTTTTCTTTTGTTCTAACAAGTATAGAGTGTTTTTCATTTTTTATTAATTTATTTTATTTGTCAATTTTTGCTGAAATTCGAATCGTATTAAATCTTCCGTATATATTAAAAAAGTTGTTTTCTTTTTCTCGTGTATAATTTCTATCCGTCTACGCAGGAAAAATAAGAATAACTGAAAAATAATTAAAAAAGAATAAGTTTTTATCTTTTTTCTTTTTTTTATTTAGAAAAGTATAAGGGAATCGTTATAAGGGAACTAAACTTAGAAAGCTTCCCAGCAAACACCAAAAGTAACAATTCTATAACTGTTATAGTTATATAATAGTTACTTGGTGTTTGCTGGGTTAATTATTCCTTTAGAAACTTTTATTTTTTCTTTTATTTGTTTCGTAAAATTAATAGTTGAGAATAGTTTTCAAGAAAAAAATGAAACTCCAGATTGTACAAGCTATTCGAAAAGAATTCATTTGTAGGTATGTCACCAATTTTGAGTCCCTTTTCAAATACATATAGAATTCATTTTATAAAATAGAATTCATTTTTATAAAATAAATTCTATATGTATTTGAAATGGAACTCAAAATTGGTGACATACTGGTGACATACAAATGAATTCTTTTGAATAGTTTGTGCTATCTGGGACCTCTTTGAAGAAACTATAACTCTTCAAGAAAGAATATATATAGGCAGTATTTGAAATTTTGATAAATATAATTTAGTAGAACTTAAACAGTGAACGATAAGAATAAGGGACTCATTGGATACGTGTCGTGTCGTACATCAAGATATCATCAGGATATTGAGTTAACCATGTTGATGGAAAAGCAATTCGGCAGGATTGCGTACGGATCTGATGCCTCTAATTGATTCGGGTCTGAAGAAGCTACAGGAACCAAGAACTTGCACCGACGAATCAATAATCGTATACCGATGGAGTCAGTTTATTGGGTAACTAGTCGTAACAAGTCTGGTGCGAAAATGGAGATTAGCATCTCGAGTGTTGAGAGCTATTCCACAAAAGATGAGACAACGGATAGTCGACAGACCATGTCACCTTCTTCATCATCTATGCGGAACGTTAGGAATAATATAAGTAAGTAACAACGGATTCTTCGCAGTCTTTTCGTCTTTTTTCTTTAGAATTTATTAAGCCTTTAAATCAGGGTATATTATTATTTTTCGACCAATAGCTATAATTATTTTATTTATTACGACGTTTCGATCATTAGGTTTTGGTCCTTTTTAAGTAAAGCTACAATAATATAAAATTTAAATACATAATAGTAGTATGAAAAGGACCAAAACCTGATGGTCGAAACGTCGTAATAAATAAAATAATTATAGCTAGTATTGGTCGAAAAATAAATATACCCTGATTTATTAATTGACCAGCGATTATAAAATTATTTATTATTATTATTAAGTCTTTAAATTAAAATTCTATTAAAGTAAACTCTACTTGAAATTAACTAAAGAATATAATTTTATTAATATTTTATTTCCACAAGGCTTTTATTTTGCAAAAAAACTTAATTATAACTCCAAAATGATTGGTGTCTCGATATTTTCACGAGGAAAAATTGTCTTCAAATAATCCTAAAAATATGATGCCATTAACATAGCTCATTATACGATAATCTGAGGCATTCTCTGTTTATAAAAGAAATCTTATTTGCACACAATTCCTCTAGAAAGTTGGAATCGTTGAACATTTCTCTCTTGAATCTCAATTTCAGGCTTGGGAATTTCAACAATCGTCGCAACATCGACATCGACATCGCAGGAATCGTCCGTCAACGTTACCTCCAGCATTCAGCTTTGTCCTAGCAAACGAGCCTGCGAAAATGATGTGTCCTCAGTAGATTCGACCACCGATAGTCAAAACCCTCTAGCAGTAAAACGTCAGAAAGGTTGGTACTCCACAATCAAGGGACGACAACCGATCAAGCGAACGTATAAGTCTACGTCTACTCAAACCGAATAATCTTTTTTTTCTTTTTTTTAAAATTAAAGACTAATATATTATTATGTATGCTTGCGAATATGTATAAGATTGCGAATAATTAAGAGAAATATCTCTCAGCCGGAATGTATTTTTTGTGAAATTATGTCCAAAATAGTTTAAATATTTTTTGGTTGAGCCAATTTATTTTTGGTTATAATAATTGTATTATAGAATAATCGAGAGAACATTTTTATTTGTTAAAAGTCGCGATAATGTGTTACAAGTATATCTATAATATTTATATATTAAACGTTCGAAAATTAAATTTAAATAAGATAGTGTTTAACACAAAATGTTAAAAATAAATTATATTTCTGATAAAATATATTTGTTTTAGATTTTATTACACGTTATCAATCATCTTGCTTATTGTTTCATCCTTATATTTTTTATATTCAATTAATACTATTTTATTTTATTTTTCTAAAAAAATTCTGGTTGTAATAGCTTTTTTCTAAATACTCCTCTTTTGTAATTTTTATATTTAATATTTTATAATATCTGTATGCATAGATATTTCAAAAAAATTTGAATTATCTTGAAAAAATTACGTATATATTTATTTAACATAGAAGTCACAAAAATAGAAAACATTTTTATGTTAAAGCTTTTTTTAAAAAACCTATTTTTAAATTTAATTAAATAACTATTAAATAAATAAATGTAATAAAAATATGTATAAAGAAAAAGAGAGAAAAAAGAAATAATACGAATTTTTATTAGTAAAATTTTGTTTTAAACCTGTAAATTTTAGTATATTTTATATTAAGAAGATTTTTAATACTTTGCGTTTTCGTATTTTTAAAATTGCATTTTTTATGTCGTTTGTTAACAAATTTGCCACGAACAATTTTCTTTTTTGTTGAAAAGTTCGATATGAGATATATTTTATTGACAAGTTATAAATCTAAATGTAAATAATATAAATAATATATATTTAGAAAATGCGACTCATGATCATTGATCACATCGCGTTGTGCAATAAAAAAATAAAACGATAATATTATTTAATTAAATTCTTTCTCTTTTCTCTCCGAGATGTGTATTTTTCAGTACATTATAATATTTTTGTGCGTAAATAATAATTTATTACATATATGTTAATAAATTGAATTTTAAACTATTGAATTTATACATAAATTAAAATCATAAATATTTGCATAAATAATATAATGACACATGTTGATGAGTGGAATAACTATCGAATTTATGGATAATTAAAAAAAATTATATACTCATTTTTCAAATATGTATCTTCTTTTAATATAGATCGTAGTATCGCGGTTTAATATATAAAAATATATTTTCTCTTCTTTCAAATATATACAATAAAAATATATTCTTTCTTCTTTCTTTAATAACAATTTTATAATGGTTATTTTCGTATTAATCTGATTTTGTAATGATTATTAAAATTAGAATTAAGAAGTTTTTAAAGTTATTGTATTTTCCATTATTTATTTTCATACAAGATAATTTAAAAATAATTAATTAAAAAGAAAATAAAATATCTTTATATAATATTAAGTTGATTTGAATATTTTTCTCTATTTCCTGAAAAAAATAAGAATTGTCTAGTAATATTTTTTTAAATAACTGATTTAAGCCTGGTATCACAAAAATAATATAAAATAGATGTGCAATTTATTTTTATAGATGTACAATTTATTCTTGATAAAAAGTAATGGTCGAAACATTGTGTACCTGATTCAATAAACATTGCTAGTTCCAGAATAAAAAGATTATTTGATTTATTTATTCTTTCTTTCTTTCTTTATTTTTTTTTTGCTTATACTATACTCTGCGTATTTGTTCAATTTAAAAAGAAATAAACTTAAACGTAAATTTTCAGATAAAGCATAGCTAAGACGGACGGAGATCAAAGGAAGCGGATGCCTTATTTTATTTTGACATGCTCCATACATCAACGAGTCTGCGCATTGCGGGAGATTTCTGTTTGGCTTTCCCGGCGGCGGCGGATACACCTATTCCCGCCAGTCACGTGGTGAGCCTTCGCGGGTGCGGATCGCACTCCTTGTCTCTCGGCCTTCTTTTTTTCCTCGATCTATTGCGATACTTCCTCGACGCGCGAAAGGAATCCGCACCGAGAGAAATCACATATTGGATTCATCGGCAGATCAGCGCGCATCTTTTTAAAACGTCCGAGGTGAGTTCGAAAATTTTTATTGCAATTAAAAAAATATATTGAACAAAATTTTGCAATTAAACTTGATTGTGTAATTTGTGGTAACAAAATTCATTTGGTGAAACAATAGAAATTTGATGATCGCATGTTATGATGATAACAGCACACATGTCATGAAGACGTTCGGAGAACATCCTGAGGATGTCCTGGATATCCTTTGAACATCCTCTGAATATCTTTCGAATGTTGGGATATACGTCACCCCAAGTAGCAAAATGACGTCATCAAACGTCAAAATAATGTCATTAAACGTCAAAATAATGTCATTAAACGTCAAAATGACGTCATAAACGTCAAATGACGTCATTAAATGTCAAAATGACATCGTTTTGACATTTAACACTTGACATAAGTGCGTTATCATCTTGAGGGGCGAGAACATATCGCGAATGATGATAACAGGACACATATCACGAAGACGTTTGGAGAACATCCTGAGGATGTCCTCTGGATATTCTCTGAATATCCTCTGAATATCTTTCTTGAATGTTGGGATATACGTCAGCCCAAGTAGCAAACTGACGTCATTAAACATCAAAATAATGTCGTTAAACGTCAAAATGACGTGATTAAACGTTAAAAAGACGTCGTCGACGTCAAAATGACGTCGTTTTGAAATTTAACACTTGACATAAGTGCGTTATCATCTTGAAGGGCGAGAACATATCGCGAAAGTAGACACATACACGGTCGATAACGTGCAACATAGAGCGTCTACATTTGGAATCTAATGTCTACCTGGGAACAGCCAGTCTCAGTGTCCGATGATACTTAGTTGCTATGTATTGAATAATACAATATGCATCGATGTGCTTACCTGACGGCTGACGGCAGAGTCTACTTCTCGTAGATTATGATATAAACCATCTACAGAAAGACACGGAAAGCCACGTCGCTTATACTCTTTACGCATTTTTTTTCGAATCTAAGGATCTCGGCTGCTTATTGCAAAAATTGCGTCGACTTTTTGTAGTCGGAGATATCTTATATTTTATAATACTGGCTTTAAATATTCCGGACGTACAATCTGCCGCATCTTCTCGCAATCGTAAAAGAGAAATTATATGAACGTGACGCGAAATTATAATTGAAATGACGCGAAAAATTAAAGGGAAAAACCTGTCTTACCTATATTACACGTTTTATCCTGTCTTAAGATTTTTTAAATTAAAAACGCGCGGAGAAAATTGAAATTTTAATACAGGTACGTGATCGTCTTTAGCGAGATATTCGACTTGGAAAAAGTCGATTGAGATTACACATGAAAATATATCGGGCGAAAAATTTTGTCTTTTGCTGTGAATTTTATAATATAATTTAAATGTAAATTGTAAAAATAGGCGATTTGCATTTATTTCCAAGTATTGCGTATTAGTTTGAAGATTGCAACTCAGTGCTGAATGTTTTTGAAAATACTCTAGGGGAAAATGAGCGATTCTTATATACTATCTCTTCTCCGGAAGTGGACTGTCATTTACTCTTCTTAGGAAGCACCGTATCTAAGTCTCTCGAAATGATGGTGGTTTATTTAGTGAGTAGATGATATTTTAAGAAGCTTTTCATAACGATATAAACTAGTCGACTTTTATGCATTGTTTTATGTTAATAACTTTGTTTTGTCGAATTTCATTACATTTCTTTGAAGAAAAGCCTATAAAAAAATATTTACGTTATATTTTATTATTCTATATTTAATTTTATTATCTTTTATTTAATTCTATATTTTCTTATTTGACTTTTACGTATGTCTAATTAAAATGCAGAAACATTTGGAAAATTATTTTTATATATATTATGTAAATTTTAAGATTAAATTAATGCCATCTCAATTTATGCTTTTCCAATTCTTCTATTAAAATTTTTTTTACTAATTAATCAAATTTAATCGGTTAAAAAATTTCTCGGTGTTTCTCTCATTTAGCATGGAAATTGATAAATTATCGAGATACACCAGCAATCTTTTTTTGGATTTACATATCGCGCAAATATTAGTTGTATTTATTAGTTTACTTCTCAAAATAAATAATAACTGATGTATGATGGACAGCTGATTTATTCCAGTTTGTTACTCTCCCTAATGTGCAATTAATATATCGTCAATAAACGATGCATACAACGACATATGACATATTACGTGATTTCGAAATGGCATGTTTAACGAAGCAATCCAAAATTTCGATTTTGCCAATGCGATATTTGCAGCACAATCCCGAGAGAGAAAAGAGAAAAATATATATATTCAGGGTGTCCCAAAATTAATAGTAAACCTGTTAATGGCAGATTCCTGGGATTATTTGGAGACGATTTTTCCTTAGCAAAAATGTTATCATTTTCTGCATGTTCCTAATTTTTGCAATCATGCATCTTCGTAATTAAACCTTAAATTAAAATTCTATTAAAGTAAACTCTACATGAAATTAATAAAAGAATGTAATTTTGTTAATATTTTATTTCCACATGGCTTAGTTTGCGAAAAACCCCATATTTTCAGTCGCTTATAACTCGAAAATTATTGATGTCTCAACATTTTCGTCGAGGAAAAATCGTCTCTAAATTATTCCTCGAATCTGCCATTAACAGGTTATTACTACTAGTTCTGAGACACCCTGTATATAGCAGCATCAATATATTCCTCGATATTCGCAATGATAAACACAAATTGCTTTTTTACATGGGTCGAATAACATCGAACCTCGAATCAAACACGAGCGAAAAGGAGCAGGCAAAGGAAAACTTTTCCTTTGCGCTTTATGCAAGCATGTTTCGCTGCGGATTCGTGTCATGAGAGATGTTTACGAGCACTTGTCAAAGTTTTCAACAATTTTCTCTTCTGTTTGCGTAATCAAACATCTCTTTGAGCTCTTCGATTTACGTGTAATTACAGCGTGTTTTGTTGAAAATTTCTAGGATTACTATGTAATCCAAATAGGTTCGCAGAAAAATGACATATCAATTACTTAGTAACAATAAATTAAAAATCATAATATTAAATCATTAATATATATAATATATAATTATCAGAGTTGAGTAAGTTAATGATTTTTTTAAAGTAAGTTAAGTTAAAGTTAGTTGCTTATAAAATTAATTTAGTTAAGTTAAAAATTTTATGAACAAAAAATTAACTTAGTTAAAGTTAAAATTAAATTAACGGAAGTTAAATCAAAAGTTAATTTTTAAATATTATTTATATTAAATTAGAATTTTGTTTGTCAATTCTTTTAAAATATATAATAACAAATAATAAAGACATTTTGATTTTTTTATATAGAAATATATTTTTTGGTAATTACAATTGATGACAAATAAACATAAAAATTAATAATACTTTAATTTAAAAATAATACGTTTATAACTTGTACAAAAAAGAGTATCTAATGGATTCACAGATAAAAAAATTTAACTTAGGGAAAAAGTTAATAAATTTAAGGTCAAAAATAACTAGTTGAAATTAAAAATTGATATATGTATAATTGATATATTTTAAATTAACTAAGCTAAGTTAAAAGTTATTAACTTTTAACTAATTAACTAGTTATTACTCACCTCTGATAATTATTTATATAAGCACACATCATTTGTTTAAAAAATGTCATTTATTTCGAAATTTTAAAGAGGAGTTTGCGCTTAATAATTTCATATATATTTATTTGCAATTTTTTAATATTTAACATTTTGATATTCGCGTATGAATTTAAATTTTTGTCAAAGCACAACAATATTTGTCTCAAAATTTGCGACTAATTTAATCGAGAAACTGCGAACGCAAGCTAGATATTTCGGTGGCTTTATTAGAAAATCTGATGATGCAACGAAATGTGGGTGGACAAGATATTCGACGCCCCCGATCCTTTGCGGTGATCTCTGATCCCCGATAGAGATTAACGAACCTGATCGGCGAAACCTCAAGGGTGTGTTGCAATCCATCGATTGTTTCGAATATCTGTAACGTGAGCGTACAAAGAGACCAATCTCGATTATCACGAGCATAAAATAGAAAGCAAAAGAAAAAAAATGGAAATTGAAAAAACTTATACATAACAATTTTTATATAAAAATTTTTATGTATACGCATTTTTTTTCTTTCAATTTTTTCTTTTTAGAGAGAAAATAATATAAAAATTGTTATATAAAAATAAAATTTTCGTAACAAATGATAAATGTTGTATGCTTTTAAGATATTTTTTATTTATTCAAATTTTTAAAAATACATAGTACTCAAAATCTTCTTTTGAAAAATGAAAAAATTGAAAAAGGAAAAATTTATATATAAAAAAAGAATATAAGACCATTCTTTTGATGTTTTAACTAATTCTTCAATCAATTCAATAGCTTTTTCCTTAGCAAAAATATCTATCAGCATCAATAATTTTCGAGTTAAAAACTATTGAAAAAGGAAGTCAGCTTTTCGCAAACTACATTTTGTAAAGGTTAAACCACATTCTTTAATTAATTCCAGGTTTACTTTAATAAACTTAGTTATAAAAAATATGCCGTACAAACTTAAAAATTTGCAAAAAAAGAAAAAAAATAATCGACATTTTCTAAAGAGAAAAATCAACTTCAAATTAGTCGAAGAATCCGTGATTATAAGAATAAAATATTTTCGTAGACATTCTTTATTTAAAAAAAATCTGCTCATAAATACGCGTTTGAAAGTGTATATACGGGGAATTGAAAGAGGCAAAAGAGGAACTGATATTTCGCACAATCGCGCGCCATTAGATAAATTTTTGATCTCGCCTGTGTTAGCGCGGGACCACTCATACGGATGAAGTGTACATCCGCTTTGATACCGAAGTCCCTTTGTAGGATCCTTGTTAATACCTTCGAAGCGCTCTATGGAGATAGAGCTAAAGAGAGAGAGAGAGAATTGGCTCCCGTTTGCGAAACTTCGCGGCGCGTATAGATGAAAGTGCGCTTAGGTCGCTAGACGAAGAGATATTGAACTTCGCGTCTCATAA